TCCTCTCTATCTGTCCAATGTTTGCCTCTTCCTGCAAGAAGCCTTCCACCTCTTCCGCATCCAACTCACCATGCCCTGCCATTCGGTATACGGTCAATTCACGTTCGAGCAAATGTTGCGATTCCGCATCCAATGACTCAAAGTCCTCTCGGTTGTCGCGGACAGCCTGCAGTAGACGGAAGTAATCGCCGTTGGCGATCCATGTCGCCTGTGCTTCAGCATAGACGCTCAAGGTGGAGTGGACGACATCCTGGGTCCCCCGCAATGGAGCACCATACTGTAGCATGTCGATCATGGCTAGCTGGCCTTGGACTGCATTTTCGGTTTGCGCCAAGGGGAGAAGAGTGTTGGCGAAGGTGGCTGTTCCTAAAGTCGTTGCCTCGAGTATCGAATTGCGCGTTTGAGTGAGTTGATCAATAATCTGATGCATGAGAGGGAGAATTTGGTCAGTGGTTGGGACACGGGGGAGCTGAAACATGATGTCTGAGACGGGTTCTAGTCAGGCTGTGAGTATTAGGGTAGAAGATGTTTGGCCTTTTGGGTGTCTAATCTGAATCAGTCCAGGGTATTGCAATGAAGAGCAGAAAGGAATGAGGAATCGTTAATATAATATCACTCTACTGAGACAAAAAGAGGGGGAGGGAGCTGATTGAGGCTAGGGCCTACTTGGAGCTTCCTTATAGGGAACAGTAACCCTTGTAGTACGTCGGGTGACTACCACTAGTGGCTTGAATTAGATTGCTTGGATTTTCTCCCCTGTTCCTGCATGGTTAGCGCTCTGTCTCAGGCATTAGTAGATCACGCCATAGCCACGTTTCATTCTTTCATTTTCGGTAGTATGGCTATCAGCTGAGGTTGTTTTATTAGGCAAGATCATTGACTAGCTATGGCTTATGCTTTCCGTCCAGCCTATAACTATTACTGTTTATGCTGGTTATGATAGACAGCAGCCTTACACTTAGAAGTAATAGTGCTGTCCCAGCTCTATTCTTCCCTTATTCATGACGAAGAGTTAAAACAGACACTCCAATGTACCAGAGGTACTTTTAAAAATAGATATCCTGAGAGTAAGATGTCTTATAGTTCCAGAGTCCATACAGAATCAAGAACGGCAGAACCTTCTCCGCGTCCGATTTATACAAATCGATACAAGGTTGTCAGACTTAATTTCGCCGTGACCCTAGTACGTAAAACTCTAGAGGTTTATTGTATAAACCTATGCCACCGACCAGAGAGCCATGTCCTTACGAGGTATCTTCAGACTCGATATATTTTATATCGCTTACAGCTGTGTATCTTATTGCCCGATCAGAAAGACTTTGGATCCAGATTCAAACGGCATACGATATGAGACTACTAGGGCTTCTGAAATCTGTTAAATTACCGAGATTCCAGCTATTGTATACGCCACATGGCCTACAAAAAGTATGTATCAGGGTTACGGGTTGCTTAAAGTATCCACGTCCTGATCCGTGGATCGGGCTTCAGGCACTTGTGCCGCGGAAAAGTTGACAATCCAGATTCCAGAGCAACATGCTGCTTGTGAGCCTACGAAGTATTTTAGAAGTAACGAGTGACATCTCGTTACTAGGTTATTGTTGCCCTGTTGTTTATATAGTAATGAATAAGGGGCCAGATAGCGGAGATGACATTGTATATTTTCCCGTAATAATAATCCGACGAAAAAGACTTGTCTACTACCCTGATACAATTGACGGAATACGTGCTTTGCAGGCTGTACTTGACTTCTAATCGAGACGAGTTCTTGAGTGTACATCTCTAGATAAACAGTAAAACGTATAAGTGCAATCTTATTATGGGGTGAACATTCGAATCCCATTGGGTGCTAAGAGCACACAAACCACATGACATCAATACCCCACTTGATCGCCGAGCGGGGTATATTTGGTGCAACTTCGGAATCTTCTGTTTGCCCCCAACAATAACTCGATAACATCCTAGGTAGTTACACAGCCTCATCCTAGCAACCATGGCAAAGACAGTTGTCGCAACTGGCATCTCATCCGGCTTGGTGTGCCTAGCTTTCCACCCTTTCATGTATCGGTTTCTAAGACACCACAGGGCTTTGAAACAATCAAGCAGTTGCTGGAGCAAGCCGAGCCGTACAATTTCATCTTGGGCGCGCGAGACACGGCCAAGGTTCAGGCTGCTTACGATAGCCTCAACTATGACACTTCTAAGCATTCTATCACCATTTACCCACTCGACCTCCTGTCCTTGAAGAGTGTGCAGTCTTTCGCAGCAAATGTCCTTTCCAAGTTGGGTTCCGAGAAGCTGGCTTATCTCTTCCTCTGCGCCGGCACTATGGACAATGGCGAAGGCCCTGGTCCGAATGGATCGCAATGGTGCTCGGGATATGTAGTTAACCATCTAGGTTCGTGGAAAATGATAGACTTTAGACGTACAAAATCGAAAGTGGATTCACTAACGATGGAGCAAATTTATAACAGCCCCGCATTATCTGGTCCACTTGCTCCGTGATGTGCTATCTGCCTCGCAATCGCGAGTTGTTTTCGTTTCTTCCGGGGCGATCCGTGGTCTCAGAGACCAGGATCCGGGTGAGATCCCTGCATTATCCAAGTACTCCATTCTGGCATTTATTGACTGTTTATGATATAGCAACCCTTGATGTGGACCTGAAAGCCAACTCCGGCGCAGGCTATCGTCCGATATACAGTGCCTCCAAGTTCGTGCAGCTGTTGAGCGCATTTTACTGGCGGCGTGAACTCCCATCTTGCACGGTCGTTGCTGTTTCACCAGGTCTCATTCCAAGCACTCCTCTCGCCTCGTCAATGGGTTTGACCATGGATATGCCCGATGCCAAGACTATCCCCGAGGGTGAGGATCACTCATAGCTTACTTTATACGTTGACTTGCTGACGAAGATCTATAGGTGCCCAGAACCTCCTCCGCGCCTTTTTCATTAACGATTTCCCGGCGGATCCGGAACAGATCTTCTTGACTAGCTGGGGAGAGTGGTGGCCTAAGGATGTGTATGCCCTGGCCCTTGATGCTGACTTGCAGAAGAAGTGGTGCTTGAGCAGGGAGGAGATTGAGAAGACTGAAAGCATTGCTTGAGCATATCGTCGATGATGACGGACATATGATCAATGTAGATGTGCTGGATATATTTATGCCAGGGACTTAACACATACTTCGAACAAAGAATCTCTCTTTCGAAATGCAGATGTAGTAAACTATGAGACATAATATACTCCACTGGATAGAGTAAGGGGCGTACTTTCACTTCTGAGGTAATCATGATTTCTCTTTGCCCTCAGGTTGCCCGAGCTCACCCGTGCCGAATTTCATGCACGCCACATTGAATGCACCGAAAATGGCTGCCTAAATAATAGTGCTGTAGAGACAACGTGCTAAACTAGTTACTGTGATGAAACCTCGTATAAGGCAGTATGCTTCGTTAAAGTCTCAGACTATCGAAACGTAAGTTACACAGCATGGGTCCTTCAATCAACCCCACGCCGGTCGAACTTCTAATCTGACAGTCTAGTCCGGATGATAAGAACCAAACAAAGCAATACCCTTTGCCCCATATTACGGGTCTCACCCCGCAAAAAGCAAATGAGCGTTCTCGACCCCATCCATCCCAGCCTCACCACTCCACAGCACCCTTTACTATTGCTGCCCCCAAATCCCGTTCGCCATCTCATGAGCAGTTTCATGAAATTGCCCCTCATTTAATTCATGAGCAAGCACCACTCGAATAGCATATGGGGTGGCATTAACGGAATCAAGCTGGAGCTTGCGTTCCCCGACTACATGCAGAATCCACCCCAGCAGCTTCTCCATATGAAAGGGGAGCTGAGTACGAAAGATGTTGTTGGACGAGCCCTCGTGAATATTCGTGATGATGATATCGACAGCGGGGGGTCCGGAAAACACCAAGCCTCCAGCATCACGGAGTTCACCGGTCCCGGGGTCGTTGTATTTCCCGTCCACGATGGGGCGGTTGCTTGCTGCATGCCAGCTAGGGGTGTGGAGCTCGTCGGGATGCTCGCGGTGGAATGGCTGTGGATGAAGGTTGGCCTCAGCCAAGACTTGGGCTAGGGGAGGGTTACTTACTTCCATAGTTATTTTGATGCTGGGATTGATGGCTTGATGGAAAGAGTTTGGTTATATGATAATTGTTGATGGAAGAGATTATTAGGAGAGTGAAGGATGATGGAAGAAGAGTTTCGTTCAGGGTTAGTGGACTGGGAATATACCTTATTGGGAGTCACATGATACCCTGCAGGGCTGGACAGATGTTGCCTGCCAATCGGTCTCTCTTGCTCGTTGTGGTTCTGTCAGCCCATAAGCTGAGCTTGTTTGCTCCTGAGTGCATTGTGTTACACAAGACCCTGGGGTTCATTCAGGCAAACAGATTGTTCCCTGCTTTCGTTCACGAGCACTCCTGCTGTCAGCCCTACAGAATCAGGGTCCGTAAACGCATCGTTCTTGTGAGAAGTACGGGCACCAACTCTCTTTGCTCTTTTCTTTGCCTGTACGTGGTGTATCTTTACACCATTCATTGGGATTCATGCTCTTTTGACAAGATGTGGAAGTGAAGACTCTGTCTACAGCAGTTACAGGCCACGGACAGTACTCGCGAGGTCTTCGGTAGCCTTGTCGATGTTACACAAACGAGCTGAGAATCAGGCGTGCCATGTCTTAGCCTGAACTTCAATCACACCGGCTTCACTTCGAGCCGAGAAAAAGCCCAAACAAGTCATCTAGAGAGCATAGCAGTAATGCCTCAGGATCAGCGCCGTCAGCACGGTGCTACTTGGTCGACCTGCAGCAGTTCTCCAGAATCACACATACCGAGAACTATAGCACTCATCCAGCTCGAGACATAAAAGGCTCATACCAGCCCATACTCCGGATGCTTTCTCCCTCATCAACAGCTTCATCTCTCATTGACTATTCTTCTATCTCTAAAAGCCATACAGCTTTAAAGAACCAACTTAACCTTCACGATGCGCTTCACATCCTTCGCCATTGTCACCGCCTTCCTGGCTACCATGATTTCTGCTACTCCAGTGGCCGAGCCCGAACCCAACCCTGTTGAACTGGCTGCTCGAGCCAAGTACACCATCCACTGTAGTGGTGGCCTCAACCCTGATTCGCACTGCTTGACGCCTCATTCCAAGTGTGACTCTTATGGCACGTACCTGGTTGAGTCTGGTTACAAGGAGCAGTGTAAGAAGTGTGGCTGCGCGAAAGAGTAGATCTTTCATCCTTGAGAAGGTATTTGTTAGATGCCTCGGGAACAAGAAGGATGGGTATTTTGCTAACACGAAGAAGTATAGTAAGAACAGAAGCCGAGTCTGGGAAGGGGCATGAATGATGATCAAGGACTTTTGAAGATAGATGTGGTGGTCTACATGGGAAGATTTCGGTGTGTGAGAAGACTGCTTGGGATAAAGAATAGTAGCTAAATCGTTTGGCTCAACACTCATGTTACAACCTAGAATTAGAACATCAAATGATATCATCTACTGTTCAGATTGTGACTCTTCTGGTATGGCATGGATAATTGTCCAACGTAGGCCATGATATAGTTGGGCTTTAATGAAGCCATCCATCTGTTGCTTACACGTACAGGCACAACTAAGCCTTAGCGTGTCAACGCTTGGTTGTCTATTGTATTACTACAGAGGGCCTGTAAAGCACAATCTCTTCGTAAAATATCTACGCCTTGTCGGAGACCTAGAAGTTACACTCGTAACATACAATATTTCCATAACAGCTCGTCCGACTGTACCCCTGTTTGAAGAAAACCGTCGCCGTAGCTAAATTGAATAAAATATACAACAAAAGCAAAAGACAAAGTGTAGTAGTTATACAAAAGGTCAGAAATGTAAGCGAGTGTTGCAGCTGACTAGCCAGACGACCAGTCAGCTGCCTACGAGTCACGATCACCTCTTCTTTTTTTCTGCCACATCTTGCTTCCAAAGTGTGTGTGTGTTCCTTCTGTTTTCCGTGCCTTTCCCGTTGACTTAAACGGGGCGTCTTTGGATTGTCGTACTGTTAAGTGGTTGCATAAATCAAAAGTTAGCAGTCTGGTCTCCACTAACTATTTCTGCCACCCCTTGGCTTCAAGAATAATTTCAGGTTTCTAGTTTCGTCCCAACCCAAGTTCACAATATCATCAATCATCCAAATAACACCAGATGCATGGCATCACCAATTCAACCGATGAAACCGCAAGCACAATTCTGCCTCCATTAGTAGTATTCTCTGTCTCACTTTGATGTCCAGACAGTTCAATACAATCCTAAGGAGCTCGTACCGACACTCTTCTAACACATCAACATCATGAACCACACAGACCAGCAGCATTCTTCTGCATTTTGAGAAGTTGTATGTCAGTTTTCTGCATCTTTTAAACCACCAATTATAAAAAGTGACCCCGAAAAGTCTTCCTAATTGCCAGAATCCATATATTCGCAAGACTTGTAGTTGTGACATTGTTCATAAAACGTAACCGGCCACTACCAGAAGCAAAGAAGACAGCGGTCCACCCCTAAGATTAAGCAGCCCCGTACTGCGGCCACCCATCACGAGGCTTATTTTTCTTAACCGCGAACAAGGACTGCAATCTGGTTGTCAGTAAATCCCCAGCCCTGACCTCGTCTTGTAATGACAGCTGATCCGGCCAGACAAGCCGGCGATGCTGGCAGTCTAGCAAGACTTCATGCTTTTTAAACCACATCCTGCCCACTATAATATCGTGCCGGCCGAGGTTGAAGATCAGGAATGGTACGTCGTCCAACCGTTGTCCGTCGATGGTAATGGTGAAGCGGAGGGCATGCGTTGAAGGTATAGTAGCTTTCCTGTCAAAACCTGTGACTGTATATCCGGTCTTCAAGGGAACTATCTTGCTCTATAGTCGGTGTGCTAATTCGACGGCAAGGTCAGTATTTATATAAGCCAACGCGTTTGCTCCAGTGTCTGCTAGGGTACGGGCGGAGACTGCTAGTCCATTCTTTGATATCAAGGTATTAATTGTGTAGCTTTCATTCTGTTGACCTAGCAGATTTCGTGAATTCAGTGTACTTAAGTAGACTTTCATCTCGCCTAGAATGGAGACTTCTCCTAGACATTGTCTTTTACCTGCTCACACTCCTCCACAGTCTCCAACTGCTTGGTCTGAGCCAGTTTCTTCTTTGGGCAGTCTCCAGCCAGATGGCCCTGCTCCTGGCAAATAAAGCATCAGGTTTTGGTCATCATGCGGGAGCGGTCTTCTGGCTTTAGGCTCGAAGCGCGACTAGTGCTTCAGGGGGTTCGACTACCAGTGGAGGCAGGAGTAGTAGGAGTAGCACTACCAGAGACCGCTAGTAGGGAGCGGCGGAGCGCTGAGCCAGTTCTCTCAGGACGGTTTATCATCTGATCAATCTGCTCTATCTATTTCAGTAAATAATCAAATATGGCGGCTTGGACAGGCACATAAAAGTTCGCGTGTGGCTCAAAAGAACCCGGAAATGTGCATCTCTTCGATCAGGGATTGCTTATGTAGGATTATACCAGACGAGATGATGATTGAGATTCTATTAGATATCTCAACGACGCCTGACTATGTGTCTAATGGCACGACCAAGCTTGCAGGATTCAGGTTTCGTTAGAATTTGGCAGTAGATGCCAAATGAGTACCACACCAACAAGGTTGATGGGTATTGATCTCAATTTACAGCCTTGTTGCGTCAAGGTCGCTTGTCAAAGGTCTGCTCCGTGATGTATTGATGGCATCGGTGCAAGCCTTTTGAGGTAGGATACTCATTTAGTTGCTTCATCAGACACGGAATAAGCCATCTTTGTCTGAGACCTAGGAAAGCGTTCACACCGGTCTCATCTTCAAAGGATCCACAGTTCGCTTCTTTAACCGCGGCACGGTGATGGAGAGGAGAATGACGATGAGCTCAGTGTACATATCTTGTATGTATGCACGCGATATGGGGTCCAGCTCATATCAGTGGAGTACATAAATTTGCCTTTGGGGAGATAAATCTTCGCCTATTCAGAGCAAATTCAGTCGTAAGAAAGAATGTATCGCACAATTTGGTCGATATCTGGTACCGATCCAGCCTGAAATATGTTGTTCTGTATCTGTTGGTTAAAGTATTTTTTGTAATGCCGCCGGGGAGGACCAGGAGAATAATACTATGGTGTTCGGACTACCATTGTAGGTATAGGACACTCGCACAAGGTTCAACTCTTCTTGGTAGGTGTTCCATCAAAAAATCACGCGTCTTGTTCTCCTCTATGTGTAGCCTCGGATAGTGGGTCGACGGTGACAAACATGCGAAGGCAAACCCGAGAACGCACCTTGGGACCGAGGTCAGGTTGATCACAATTTTTCGCCATTATTATAGACCCCGTTTGTTACAATCCCTCACATGCAGCATATATAGAAGTCAGAAGAGATGGTGCACCTGCTTTCTAGTGATAACAAATAGTTGATTCTCATGCGCGTTGAGTAACTAGTCGTATCATGCTCCCGGCTTGAGCCAGTTTCCCCTGGTAGCCATGCCAGCCATGTGCGGCCCATTGACTGTGCCTGAGAGGATTGCGAATGCAGATGTATCTGCGTGTCATAGCAGGTTTGAAAGAAGTTGCTTGGACTGACAATGATAATCGCGAATTCAAGGCTTTCTTGTCGACGCCTGAGGACGCTGCTTATGATCAAGGAACTAGCGCAGATTTCTCCACCAAGTAAATTTATCTCTGGATTTGAGCTAGTCTCTTTAGCTGTGTAAGCTCAGTACATATGACAAGGACTTACAGCACTTTTTTAAAGCGGACTTTCTCCCTCTCCACCGCCTTTAATCTGGAATATCGAGTGCTGGCATTTGAAATGCTGTAATGAGACTACTGGCGTGCTTGGTGGAGTAATATGGTATTATCAGAGCAAAGGTTTATGGGTCTTGTCTAGAAACCATGGTGCAGGGCTAGAGGTAAGTGAGGGAGAGACATCCTGGGGAGTAAGGCTGTATATAAAGCCGTGCAGGCGGCAGGAACGGAAAGACATCTAGTGAATTGCCAGGATGTGGTGAATATCATAGTAGTATTTGTCACGACACCACTGCGTTGCCGTTAATGATAATGACCCGGCGGTAATTTTGGGCTTAGTGTCAGATATAGAGCATGCTGCCGGAAATATATTCACACTCAGTCAGAATTCTGGGCGGACTTTATACCTCCCCGGAGGCGGCATGTGCTTTGGTCATTGCTACGGCCCTCAGCACACCGAGTCACTTTTCTACTAGCCATGGGAGTTGCCACCGTTCTTCATAGTGTTGCAAGACCACTCCCGATACTACATCTATATTGTGGGAGATGCCGAAGGACTTTGTAGGATTGAAGCTCATCCTTTGAACTTGTAGGTCACATTCGGTGAAAGTGGCCTGCATTTGCCACAGATAGCACCTCATATCTGGCACGCAGTGCATGAGGGCCACAAGCAATGTTAGCCACTGTACTCCACTAGCCACTGTTTCAGCAGTGCATGTTTCTGAATCAGTACCAATCCCCAAGCTCTTACAGTGACTACCGCTAAATACCACTAGAAGCTAAGGTAATATCTCGCTGACAAGTGTTCTCTAGCCGTCGTGCCATATCTGACTATTCCCATTCAATCTTTCTTCTTGCGTATTGACTCTACCAGCCTGAAGGACATGAAGTATTTATTGTCGAATGGGGAAATAATTTGACCTAATAACTGAAAGCTAAACGTTCCTCACATTCCATCTCACTGCGAGATTCATACTATATTTCATGAAGTAACGTAACTCCCGGCCGCATCGGCCACCCGCCCGCGCCGGCCACCCAGTACACCGCCCAACACGTTTCTACATGCAACCACTCTTTCAATCAGAGGCAGTGAATCAGCAATGAGTAGTAAAATGATTCTAGGGTGGCGTGGTAGGGGTGGCCGGGAGTTACGTTATCCAGGCGGGTTTGACATTAACAGCCGTAGGATCGCATGCATGCATGCTCGGACATAAGCTGGGTTGATGGCTTGGGGAAGCTTCCCGAAAGAGTATGGGTGTCCGAGCTGGTCCTGCTGGTGACCCCATCTGGCGCCCAACTACACAAGCATAGGCTAATATCAGTCCCGGACCCCACGAACTAAAGACCGAGATGCGGGGTGCATGGATTTGATACGGATACATGCCTGGGATGGATGACCAAACAAGTTGGCTTTCATGGACGAGCGACACGACTTGAACCCTCAATGTGCCGGCTGGAGGACCGAGCCATAGAGGTATAAGAACACAGTGATCACGCATTTCTCGTTGAGTTCGTCTTATATCATGTCTTAAAATCATTGACACATATCAAGTAATTGAACAAGATGAAGGGTGCTTTTCCAAAGCTTAGTTGGTTGACCCTGGGCATGGCCTGTGTGGCAACCTGCACCAACCCAGTAGCCCAGACAAAGAACGATATTGTGGTGTCTACATGCCTCAATATAAGGAGGACTACTTTCTTGGGATTCCATTTGCTAAGCCCCCGCTGGCACACCTCCGTTGGGCTAATCCCGAGAGTGTTAATGAGTCCTGGTCGGGATTGCGCCCTGCTACAGGCTATGCGATGGTAAGAACCTGGACTGACCTTGCTCTGTGTTTAGTCTGAGACTATATATTTACATATAGCACCGGTAATAGGAGTGCATAGGTTACGGCAGTGATCAAAAGGGTTATCTTCAGGTGTGGATGAATGTCACCTTCTCTACGCTGTTCTCTCCTGACCACCAGATTAGAGCGAGGATTGTCTCTACCTAAACGTGGTCCGTCCCGCTGGATACGACAACGCAAGTCTTCCAGTCCTTGTATGGATTCATGGTATGTCTTGAAATCCATCCCGACAATGGCAAGCCACCCCCGACGCTGAACGAATGCAACAGGTGGCGGTTTCTCACAAGGCGGCACTCCCGACCTCCGTTACAATCTTACATTCATTGTTGAAAACTCAGTCAACATCGGCCAGCCAATTATCGCAGTAAGCATGGCATATCGTCTCGGTCCCTGGGGATTTTCCAATGGGGTTGAACTCGCCAATGAAGGATCGTTGAATCTGGGGCTCAAGGACCAGCGCCTGGCCTTGAAGTGGGTGAAAGAGAACATCGCAGGTTTTGGTGGTGGGTTTTCATATTCCCATTCAATGGACATAGACCAGAATTACTAAGTTGTGATCCTCCTATTTAGGTGACCCAGATAAAGTCGTGATTTACGGGCAGAGTGCCGGCTCTGAGAGCGTGGGATACCAAATCCGCGCGTATAACGGGCGGGACGACGGGCTCTTCCGTGGAGGTATGATGGAGTCCGGGGCGGTGCTACCTGGCAGTGGTTTGAACCTCACCTGGACGTACGAGCCCTGGTTTCAGCAGATAGCAGATGAGGCTGGATGTTCCCAGGCTGTCCGCAAGCTGGACTGTCTACGCCGCACACCCTTCACTATCCTGAACAATATCCTGAACACAACTGCTAACGATACAACGCCTTACAACTGGAGGCCCACAGTGGACGGTGATTTCGTGGCGCGGTATCCCAGCGAGCAACTCGATAGAGGAGATTTCGTCAAGGTACCTATTATAATCGGCTACACTACAGACGAAGGAACTACAGAGTGCCCGGAACCAGTGAACACCACTGCTGAATTGAAGAATTACATCAGCTGTATGTATTTCTTTCCCTCATCCTCCTCTTCCCGCTAAAAAATTAACCCAGCAACAACAACCCACGGCTGGGCCCTCGACGAGCGCGTCGTATCCGAGCTACTCGAGCTCTACCCTAACACCACCGACTTCGGCATCCCTTCATCCGAAGAACTCGGCGGCAATGTCACCTTCCCACAGCCCTACGGTGCGGCTTTCCGCCAGACAGCAGCATACTACGGCGACGCCCAGTTCATAGCCGCAACCCGCTACACCTGTGAGCTATGGGCAGCACATAACCTAAGTGCATACTGCTACCGTTTCAACACGAAGACAGACGATTACAACTGGGAAGAAGGCGTGGCGCATTTCTCGGACTTGATTTTCATATTCAACAACCTTAATGGTTATGGGTTCAGTCCGAACCCGTTTATCAATGCTCCGGACAGCTATACTGATCTTAGCTACCTCATGTCGGGCTCGTGGATCAGCTTCGTCAATAGCCTAGATCCTAATGCGTGGACTGGACGTGGGCGGAACGCCACTCGGACGGGGAACTGGCCCGTGTATGATCTAGAGAACCCGATGAGTATGATTTGGGATGCGAATGTCACGTCGTATGCGGCGCCGGATACTTGGCGCAAGGAGGGCATTGCGCTGATTAATGCCAATCGGAGGGCATACCAGAGATGAACAGGGAGTGATATGGGAAGATGTTATTCTAGTCATTCGACGCACGTTGCGTATCCAAAAATAACAATGTTCATCAAATATCGAATATGAGTCTATAATGGTTCTGAACTCGGGTCTGGAGTCCTAATCCAATCCGAAACCATCAAAGAAAAATAGAAGTGAAGAAGAGGGAGACGAAAAGTTTGTAGTAAACTTAAAGGAACCCAATATATGGTCGAGGCTCAGTCTCATACTGACAGCGCGCTCACGCTATTTAACCCCAAAGATCAGTACAAGAAAAGACTTCTTAATTTAACACGATAACTCACACATCTGAATGTCTTCTATATGAACAGAAACACCAGAGATTTGCTGTTCGCATCCCACAAAATCAGTCTTATTTTCGGTGTATCTCCTGACATCATTGCATGCCCCCTTCAAGCACACTGACATTCGATATCCACCATCACGGAGCGGGGTGAATGTGAAACTTTCGCACTCCTTCTGATAACCTTCCAGCGTCATCCATCCTTCGCTGGTGAAGCTCATCCATTTAGCAGTACTGAGGTTCTTGAAACCGAGACCATACTTTTTACTAAATGTGCATACCCACATCTGCCGCTCAGAGCGTTGCCAGGGCTGTAGCGGAATCCACTCATCACCATCAGCGTTGAATATGTATTGACGTCCGGGATTATTGAACCAGAACTTGTAGATCTTCTGTGCCTGAGGGATAACCGTCATCATGAAAGACAAGTGCCCGGGCACTAAATGGGGCGATATATGGCAAGGCTATATTGTAGAGATAACTAGTATGAGTATGCAGAAAAGAATTATTGTGTACTGGGACGGCAGGACGTGATTTGGGATGTGTTGATCGGATCTTCATGGTTATGTTACTATTAATTGTAAGATGGGAAAGGTAGACCAGAGGAAGAGATCACCGAAAGAAAACACATGCAATGATACCCAAAGCCATTCAGGAAGGGTTGTACTTCCTAGTCTATTTTTACCTATGTTGAAGAGACTATTGAACCAGGGTGATGGTGAAGTAGCTGTGAGGGCCATGGGGCTCGCCGAACTTATGGGTCTGCCTGCTCCAATTGCTCTCATGTTTTAGTCCAATTTCCAAACAGCCGGCCCCGTGGTGGCATTACACCTCCTGAACAGAAGGGGCCTTAGCCAACCCATCAACGTGGGAAAAAAATTGAATCAGGGTATGGGTTGTGTAGTTATAATGCTCGAGTCAGCCTACGTGAAATAACACTTGTGATGGTTAGATATTCTACAAATTCTAGACCTTTGTAATGATAGTAATATTGATAATGAAAAGAATGGTACTCCAGTATTCGATGAATGAGGGTTGTCATCTCGACTGATTTCTGTGACTAGAAGGTCGGGCATTGATAATACTGCAAGCGAACCCAGATTATAAGATTGAATCATGCCAATAGAAGTGGCAGTTTCCAATGTTGTTACTTAGGGAGGCGATGAGGAGGGTATAGTATGTTGTTAAAGTTACGTCGGATGCAATCGAACCATGAGAATAGAGAATTGTCGTTGCAGTGATAGGCACATATTAATGCCGCTTCCGTACTGATGCAGGCTCTACGTATCTACAATCCTCTGTCGAAATAGTATACACACCCGACCATTACACTTGCAATCTAGCGACAGCTCACTCGCTACCAGCAAGCCCAAGGTCCTTCATAATGATGGTAGCAGCCTTCTCACCAATGGCATAAGCAGTGGTGGCCGCATTTGCGCCAATGTTCTGAGGAACGATGCTCAGGTCCACAAGCTTCAAGCCCTCAATCCCATGAACATTAAGCTCGGGATCAACCACGCCGCCGTCAGCAAGCGCGCCGATCTTGCAAGTACCTAGTGAGTGCCAGGTGGTGCCGACATTCTTGCGCACCCAGCCCTCAATGACCTTGTCGTCCTCCGCAGTGTATTGGATGTCGGGGATGTTCTTGTCATTTGGCTTGTCCAGCCTGACAAGGGCGGCGGCCGAATCCTCAGCGAACGGCGGATGTATGCCCGCAAACTCGCCGCGGTAAACGTCCATTCTGCGCACGATTTCTCGCTGCTTCTTGTACGCCCAGATGAGCTTCTTGACATCCAAGTCATTTTTCAAGAATCCAGTCTCAAACAAAATATCCGCATCGGGATCGGGGCTTGTGATGTGGACGTGACCTCTGGCGTAGGGGTAGACGGTGAATAAAGAGGTCGCGAGATATTGGCCTGGCTCAATGGTGTGTGGCTCACCAGGAAAGCCGCCCAGCAAAGCCATTAGCGCCATGGGTTTGTTGGGGGTGGATAGATAATCTCTTGCGTAGGCCGCCTCAAATTCAGGTCCAAGAGCAGCGACATCCGCTTCGGTGGGACGCAGCTTGCAGGAGGCATCTTGGCCATTCCACCCCATGATTGGCGCATTGGTTTTGATTAACTCTTCCATGTTAATTCTACCGGCAAGAGGGGCGTCAAACGTCTCAGTTGGCTCCAAGGAACTGTAGTATGCCTGAGTCAAGAGATGATGATCTTGGTAGTCCCGGCCAATTCCGGGGATATGGGCCACAGCAGGAACGCCAGCCTTGTTGAGAATGGCCTCATCGCCGAGCCCGGACCTCTCGAGAAGCAACGGGGTTCCAATAGCGCCACAGGAACTAATCACTAGCTTCCTGGCCTTGACGTATCGAACATCGGTGTTGTCTTCCTTCTGGAAGGCAGGGTTTGGCTTGAACGCGACACCCACAGCTCGTTTGCCCTCGAAAAGGATCTTGATCACCTTGGTCTCAACAAGGACGTGGAGGTTTGGGTGTGCTCCATCTTCCAGCTTCGGATGCAAGTAGTTGCTGGCGGCATCCTGGCGACGGCCCTCCTTGTCAACAAAGCGGAGGGCGCGTTGAACGCCGTTGCTGGTGTCGAGGTCTTGAAGATCCTTGACCGTCGGGTAGCCGACCTCGTTGGCGGCAGCAATGAATTGCTCTGCCGTACGCTCAGAGTAGAAAGTTCCCGGGGACACAATAATAGGGCCATTCTTTCCATGGACAGAGTCAGGGCCCGGACCGTGATACGTCTCAAGCTACAATGAGTAATGGTGGGTTAGTGAACACTGTAGTCAAAAATGGCAATGCCGCAGGGTTCACAGAGTGCAGCTTTGTCGATTCGATAACATACCTTTTTTAAGAAGGGGATCATCTCATCTGTAGACCATCCGGGAGTGGCCCACGAATCCCAATCATGACGTTGAGCACGACTGTACATCATCAAGTTGATTGATGACCCTCCGCCCAGAACACCACCTGCTGGGACGATCATTTGGCGGTTGTCCAACTGCGGCTCCGCATTTCCCTTGTAAAACAGGGTTGCGGTACTAGTTGGAAGCAGTGCAGTTGGAAAAAGGAGTGGGAACGCAATCAAGTGGTTGCCCTTGTTGTTCTGCCCGCCCTCGACCACGAGGATGGACAGTGAGGGATCGGCATCGGCGAGTCTGGAAGCAACGACACATCCCGCGGTACCGCCTAGGAGAGATCGTTAGTATAGAGTTTGGATTAGCAGATGAGTAGATGAACAAACCGCCGGCGATGATAATGTCGACCTCGTCGATGCTCTCGGGGAGCCGAGTGTAAATGCCCATATTGTTGAATGTGATCGTATGGTGGAATGTGATGGTGACGGAACGAACTGGGCGCAGTGGATGGGATCACACTATGTTTAATAGCTCCGGGTCGGTTGCCCGACTAACAGCAACCCCACGGGATTTTAATGACGCGTGGATCCCTGTCAGTCTTTGGTGCCAACCACTTGAATTGTTGGACAAGGCTGACTGGGTTGTTACCCACTACTACCTGTGGCCAGCAACAGGCGGGCGTCTCAGATGTGGCTCTAGGTTTGCGGGGCTGGATGTATAGCGTCCACAGCTAGTAATGACGAGGTTCGTCTGGGTAACATTACGCTACGCCGTGTAAAATTGTCCCTAATTTCACTGTGATGGATGCTACTCTCTAGAGCCTACTATACCTCATATCTTACTATGTTGTGATTTCTATACCACAGGTCCAGGTTGTGTACAAGAGTCTATCGTCAATCAATACAATTGAGAATATAAGAGTTGTATCATGCTAACAGTGATGTGTGCAGTAAACTTTTGTCAGCTTGGAGCAGATTTGTAAGTATTAGTATTATTGCAGCGCGGCGAAATGCCATTTCTCAAATTTGAGAGGAAGGGCGATAAAGAACCCAGGCGCTGCACCGAATATGTTCAGGTAAAACACAGAAGCTACACTCTGCGTAACTGCGTTCGTGACCTGAGCACGAACATGTTCGGACAACGTCGCGAGCAGGCTACTTCCTACTCCATCAATAGCGCCTCTGATTTCGCTAATAGGAACATTTGGGAGAATGTGCGATATCTTCTCCGTAGCATGGTTGATAAGAACAGACGTAGCGATGCCCAGTGACAAGGCTAGACCACCCATCTGCGCACAAGAGAAGAAAGCTGTAACGTCTTTCCTTGCCGCCTGCGGACGCTTCAACTGGCCCACAGTATATCCAAGTTGAATGACTGGTCCGACACCAAAACCCTGGATAACGGTATATCCACAAATGGTAGCCCGAGAGGTATTCGTGTGAATGCTGGACAGCAGGCCGTTGCTAACAAGGAGCAGGACACTGGCCCAGATGAACCAGCACTTGTACCATGGGAACTTGGGCATCACTCCCCCGCTAATGCCCGCACTTACCACAATAGATGCTACAAATGGCAGGGTATAGACTGCAGAGCGCATCGAAGAGTCATGCAGCACAAACTAGAAAAACAGCGGAAGCGTGTAGATGGTGACAACGATTTCAGAAATTGCGACAATTGTCCAGATCCACAGGCCAACCACCAATGGATCCTTGAAATATTGCACGGGGAAAATGCGATCCGACGTAAAAAGGTGGAATTTCTGCTGCAGAGCAAACATGATCCATAGAATAGCAATGGCAACGTAAAGTCCAATCATCTGGCCGCTATCCCAGCTGTACACGACGCCGCCAAACCCTAGAAGCATGACTGTCGACACAGCAGAGCCAAGAATTAGCACAGCACCCAAATGGTCAAATGCCCTGATCACGTCCATGGCTCCTAGGGACACGCTAGGTGGCGCCGAAGGCATAATCCAGATACATGCGGGGGCGGCAACGGCGGCAACGGCGGCAACGCAGATATTGATGTAAAAAGCCCATCTCCATGTTGCAGGCGAATCAGCAAACGCAGATCCTATAACGGGGCCAAGAATAGTTCCTAAGCTCCACGCCATGTCGACAATGTTGAGATATTGGTTTTGTTCTTTGGCAGTCGTCATTCCAGTGATCATGCTAATGGTGCCGACGTAGATGCCAGAGCCACCGGAGCCAGCCAGAGCACGACCCGCGACGACGGCGCCAATGGATGACGCTGAGCCAATCACCGCAGATCCTACTTCGAAGATAATCAGGGCAGCGAGAAAGACAAGCTTGCCGTCGAGGAACTTGTTGAGCTTCGCCCTGTGAACAAAAGTGCTGGTAGTCTGTCCGCCAAATTACTCTGCTGCTCACTTATCTATCTTACCAGATAGGGTCGGTTCCAACTTCACCCATGGGATACGCCACTGAAACCCATGGTAGCATATCTATGCGATTGCCAAATGTGTCGACAATGGCAGGCCGCACCGTTGCGGTCACGGTATTGTCGAAGGTATACAGAAAAGTCGCTGACAGCAGGGCAACATTGACAACAAACCACGCAACACCTGTGATCTTGCGCCCGGTCGCGGCACCGGCAGACGCAGACGGGCTACTGGCAGTGGCAATCTGTAGGGGCTTTTCAACATGGTCACTTATCGGAGAAGAAGCTGTTTGTGTCGGCGGCATGATGCAAGGTACATTTCTGGCCAACTGGTCCGTCTGTAGTCGCATCCCAAGGATTTAAGCCTGGGAAGCAGAGTGGGCTGGACTTGAGCAGCCTTGTTGAACAGCTTGCGAGGAGAACAGAGAATTCTCTAGTGTAACAGTAGATCAGTACATAATGTAACGGGGTAACTAACTAACGAACTAGTGGGCAGCGCTCGTTATCTCCATCATAGCCTTGTTACGCCACCTCCGTCCGCAGATGGGAGCGCAGGGAATCAAGAGTTCTCCTGTGTAAATGTAGATCACAATATATAAGGCATGGACAACAAATACTAGAGTAGCTAATAACAAGTTTACTGGACTGCGCCCTTTATCACATCCTTGCTGAGACCCACCCCCTTGCGCTAGTCGAGCTGCCGGCGCATCGTAATCAACCGATTGCGGGGATACTTCGTATTTCTGGTTGGTGACAGTTTTTCTGTAATTGTGGACAAACGCTCACTTGTAGGAGCTGAAAGGCCAATGCTCCAGTACTCGATGTGCACATCCTGGTTAGGGGTGAGAATATGTCATCGTAGCCTTATTAGAAAAGGGATGTGCTCTGTAGTCACAGCGCACAGATCACCCAGCACACCCGGTTGTTCTGGCCACAGCCTAACTATATCCCATTACGGTTAGTGCGTACTGACCACGATTCAACTTAGTATAACCTCACAAATTGCGGTTCTTTGTTCCACACTTGGCGCCGATGCCGAATCAAGTAGGAGATGTAGAGGCACACCGATAATGATGATCTTTACCATGAATGGCGCACTTGTAGTCCAACGTCGCCGAGATCAACGGAGGGCGGACGCGAGATGAAAGGACTCAGACAGGACAGCGGACCACATCCCCAACGGAAGAAAAGGCACTAACATGGGTAGTAGTGGCTCGGTTCACACACAGCCGTTTGCCTTGGGAGTAATCAGCCTAGTCACCTCGCTAAAATCGGGCCCCATTGCGCGACCGCAAGAATTGATCAGCCTGGTCCAACATTGTGATAATCCCCTCCTGCTCGGGATTAGTCGATGTCGGAGTGGTGAAATAGGTCGACAATGCATTAAAAAGACGATCGGAATATATAAATATGAAAGGCAAAAAATACCCGAGAAATATACATGGGTTATACTTGTCCGAATCCCGAATCTCCAATTGTGAAAGTCGTCGCCAGTTAAGCGGAATTCATGCTTAACGCTAAACAAGCATGAGCTCATTGGTCATCAGGTCAAAGTCCTGTTCGCGAGCAGCCAATGCCCTTATAGATATTCCAAGTTCTGGTCAAATACTCAGCCCGCTTGACTGGAGATACTGTATAATTTGATTTTCTCTTTCCTGTGGCTTTCTTTCCATGTGTTACTCCCCACGCCTTGTTTGTTCTTTAAGACTCCATTAGGGTATTTGACAACAATCCCACTTCTTCATGGAAAACCCCCAGCATATGATCCCACAGCATATGTTCGAGCAAGGTAAACGACAGGTACATTGTGACTAGGAGAGGGCCTTACACCCAGATGTATCTTTGATATTGGTTTATATCGTCTTCGACTGTGATTGCGTCGCGGCGAAGGATAGGGTAAGCGGCAGCAGTTAGAGCCAGAGTGAGAAGTTTGGCGATGAGTACCATCTTTGTTGTTGAAAGTTGATGGGGGATAATAGTGCTAAGGTTGTGACAGCCAAGAAGATGGAGTTATGATTTCCGAGGACATTATTGAGGGCTATCTGGGCTCTATATATGATGCGATGGGTGAATAAGTGTAATCCCGGGATGTGAGGCAGGTAAGGATCACGCATACATAGCACAGCTAGCGCCATTCTGCATATTCAAATTCACCTTTGCTTGGTAACTATACCATTCCACTTATTAAGTGCTAAACACTAAGTCTGAAGAGGAACAAAATGCTCTACATTATCCAGTCTCCGTGAGACATGCTAGGCCCGGAATCTATGTAAGCACGGGGAGCATGTACATGGAGCGAGAGAAATGATAAAACATGCCACTGACAGTAGTGGAACAGCCTGAATATACATAGAGGGGATCGACTGGCCACGCTCATGCCCTAGCCCACATTCTTTGAGGTATGAGTGTCCCCAGATCACCAGGTTATGCATATTGCCAGCTCCTACCAGGAAAAGATTTGGTTTAGCTGGCGATGATTATCAGAACAACAACCTAAAAAAGATGAAATGTCTTACTACAACACATGCCTGACAAACCCTCATACATAATAAAGCTGGAAATATGTTGATAGAGATATTGAGGCTATAAAATTGTACAAGATTCCTTGTGTCCTGGAAATATATGAATACTTTGATAGCTTGAACATAAGAGCTCAGCAGAGGTATAGGTTGGTCTGTCAGCGGCAATACCGTAATCACAGTGTAATGAGCCTACATACGGAACCGATTGGCTCTTTAAGAACCGGACAATATCTCCGTAGATTCGGGCTGCTCCTTCAACAAACCAACAGAGAGAGGTCTTGCTGCAACGAGTACCTCTTCAGTTGCATCCAGCTCAGCCTTGCCGTTCTCCAGAATAATGATACTGGGTCACCCTTAGTTGGGTCTCAGGAATTAACTTATCATGGGCGAAGAATCCGATGACGTTCCCATTCGCGGGATCTGGTGTCAACCACTCATCGCCTGGTCAACAACTGCATGGAAAAACAGTAGCTATATTGGGATTACATGTACCAGTTAGATCGAAACACTCGTCCGAAGCTCCCTCTACCCACTGACCCTTAGTATAGTTCTCCCCAACCAACGGGAAGGGCCATTAAAGGAGGAGTCGACAGAATATAGCTCTGAGTTCGTTTATGCAATAGAATTTGGCATAGGTTCAAAGGCATAAAGTAAGTGAAAATGGTCTGAGTGAATATATTGACGATTTATGATCCCATAGTGTCGCCCAAGGACGCCATGTGTACGCAGCAGTATATGGGCAATCCGGCAAGTTACTGCGGAACTGGGGTTCCCCAATCTGCCAATTCGGAAGGCGAACCCAATTAATGTCCGAACCCTAATTATATCCCGGCATTGCTTACTATTCTTCATGACTGAGTGGCATGCGATGTTAAATTGAGCCGCAGGCGCTCCATAGCGATAAACACGTCCTTAAACCCAGCCATGCATGCCTAGAGAGCCGAATTCCCGTCCCAGGGTGAACAGTATGCAAACGCCACATAAGCGTGGCCTGAGATGCGAAAGCGCCTCTTTGCATGACTTTAGTGAAGAGGTATCTTCGTCTATTGTTACAGATTTGGCGCAACACTTCAGCGGGCTTGGTATAGCCGAAATTATACGACCGGCATTCCCGGTCGTCCGAAGCTTCGAGGTCCTGCTCTTTTCGGCGGATGAAAATCTAGTTGACATAATTTAGCGGGGAGCCAAGCCTGCTTCGATCCATGGTAAGTATCCGAGCGAGCAAAATATAGTTAGTTATGACACTATGATTGGTGGCTTGCTGCTCCGATGGCTGGGCCCGATGGACCGCCGGCACTTGTCAAACATTTCAGACAGCTCAAATGCCTCCAATAAGTACCAGTAGCAGCTAGTTCTGACTACAATCTCCTCTACTCGCTCGGAAGGACTCACCATAATGACTGTTCTCTCCCTGTGCCCACGCGATAAAGAAGATAAGCATCAATGCATAGTAGATAGATTTTCAGTCGGTCGCCACCCGTGAACCGAGAACAGGCTTTGCTCGCCCTCAGAGAATACAAGTAGACTACTGATCGTCTGCTCTCGGATGGCCTAGACACCTTAACTCCATGGGCACAGGCGGGGATGTCCGGGGCGATCGCCTGGAGTGGAAAGCCGAAAGCTGGTTTCAGCTCAAGTCGCACCAATGAATGGCAGCGCATTGGAAGCGTCAATGAGTGGTTCTGCTGCCGGCTGCGTTTCCGCCACTCACAGTGACTTTTCTTCCGCCACGCGATACAGACCAACAAAAGAAGACATCTCCGTTCTCTCCCTTCTTCTGCCTTTCATGTCTGTTCAAACCAGCCGCGATGTTTCTCGATGGCCAAGTGGCCGCTCTCTCCCTCGATGAGAAGCTCGCGACATCACGCAGTGTACCTCTGCCCGACGATGACTCTCCAGCAGTGTCTCCTTCGCTCGCCTGCATCTATCGCCATACCCCGACGCCGACCATCGTGCTTGATTCATCCATGACCATTGTCGAGGTCTCTGATAGTCATCTCGCTTTATCCGGCAAGACGCGCCAATCTATGCTACATGCGACCGTTCGTGACCTCGACCCAGCTGCCGTACCCGCTCCTAACATCGCTATCCTCTGTGGCGCACTGCGTGCAGCTTGCTCAACGAAGGAAACCCAGATAGTGGAGAGAATCGTGTCCAGCGACAAGTCTCTATACAACCTCCGAGTTACTCCCATCTTCGACGCATCCACTCTGCTGTACATTGTATTGGAGGCGCACAAGCTTTCCGAGGAGACCGCCAGCATTAATCATGCCTATACAAACGAAACTTACAAAATCCTCGTGGATACCGTCAAAGAGTACGCCATTTTCATGCTCGATACACAGGGCAATATCACCACCTGGAATCCCGGCGCTGCAATAATGAAGGGTTGGCCAGCAGAGGAGATCCTAGGCAGACATTTCTCTGTCTTTTACAGCCCAGAGGATCGCCTGGCTGGAAAGCCCCTCCGAGGTCTTGCTGTGTGCTTGCGCGAAGGCCGTATGGAAGATGAGGGGTGGAGGTATCGGCGCGATGGCTCGCGATTCTGGGCCAATGTGCTGATCACTCCTATCTACCAGTTCGGGCAGCACGTTGGTTTCGTCAAAGTCACCCGGGATCTTAGCGAGCGCAAAGAAGCCGAGGCCCGCATAATTGCTGCTTTCGAAGAGTCGTCACGCTTAAAGACCGACTTTCTCGCCAATATTAGCCACGAAATCCGGACGCCGATGAACGGGATGAAAATCGCCATGACAATGCTGGCTGACACGAGTCTGTCACCAACACAGCTCGAGCATGCTGCCATCATCCAAGACTGCATGTCACTCTTGCTTGAGACTGTGAACGATGTGCTTGACTACTCAAAACTCTCATCTGGCTCTTTCTCCTTACATTCCGACGTCGTTGATGTCAGCGATGTGGTCGGAGCCGTTATACGGAATTGTCGCCCATCTTTGAAGAACGGTGTCGAACTGACCACGGACATTGCACCTGACTTTCCCCGAAATCTTCGAGGAGATCCCTTACGATATCGCCAGATTCTGCAGAACTTGGTCGGCAATGCAGTAAAGTTTACCGAGAGCGGTCATATCCGGGTCTCCACAGCGTGCTCTCCGGATGAACAAGAGGGATGTTGCATCGTGCGTACAGAGGTCGTCGACACCGGCATCGGTGTTCCTGATAACGCAATGAATATCCTCTTTACCCCATTTACCCGCTTTGCCAACTCGACCACCCGACAATACCAGGGAACTGGATTGGGCCTGTCGATTTGCAAAAGTCTGGCTGAACTCATGGACGGAGAAGTGGGATATTCCCCGAACCCAGATGGCCAAGGCAGTATCTTCTGGTTTACTGCCAAATTGGGAGACCGATCTAGTATCCCGTCACTCAAGCCCCGCAGTCCTGCATTAACGCCCGTGGGCCACGATCTTTGCGATAAAATGCGGGCCATTGCGCCCCACAAACATGTCTTATTGGTTGAGGACAATATGGTAAACCATACCATGATGTTGAAACTCCTTCACAGCATTGGCTTCACGCGAGTGGAAGGGGCTTGGAATGGCGCCGAGGCACTTTCCAAGATCAAGAAGAAGCCGCTATCCTACAACGTCGTCTTGATGGATGTCTCCATGCCCATCATGGACGGCCTTGCGGCGACAGGACACATCCGCGATATGGGGCTCCAAATGCCGATTATTGCAGTCACGGGCAACGCCATGCAGGGCGATGCCGAAAGCTACATCGCCAATGGCATGAGCGATTGCATTGGCAAGCCAGTTCACCGAGATCAACTACTGAGTGTTCTGTGGAAGTGGATCGGATCATGATAAGAGATACGGGTGTGAACTGGTCTGTTATTTGCATAAGCGCGGCGCAGAGTACGGCGTACTGGAGATATAAACAATCCGTCTTTTCATTTTATATATATTGCTTTTGACACTGGTCTGGTTTAAGGGTTTTCTTTCCATCTTCCTTTTTGTTTTGTTCTTTTTCTTTCCTGCTTTGTTCACTTAGCCTTTCAACTTCTTGTAACCTTACACACTTGAGGTTCGAATATATCATAACATGATTATTTAGCAAGAAAATCTAAAGACCCCCTCTTTTGGCATTTGACCATCTAAGAAGGATACCTCCAGTACTATCTGTGATTCTACAAAGCCTACGTACTAAAGTTGTTATTTCTCTCTTCTGTGTTCTGCGTCCCCAAACGATTATGCTTCTTACTGGGAACACCTTTCACAATGTTCCTTTTCTCCTAAATACATCTGCTTCGTTTGGGTGCGAAAACCAAGCTTCTTGCATATTCCGCACGTAGTACGATTTCATCTAGTCAGACATCGTCTATTCTGCCACGGCTAGTAGTGTATCTATATCAATGTCTCCTGTCTATAGCAGCAGCATGCCGTCTATACCGATACCACACAAAGTCCTAAACCGGATCAATAACCACAAATAATATATCTATCCCTTTTTACACATCAATACAATCCCAATAATCCTCGTGTATTGACACCCCAGTCTGCGTCCAATTCGCCTGTTTCGGGTACCTAACCAACAACCCCCATTAGCTCCCTATTCCATCCATCCACCTAAGGAAGTAAGACAATAATATCTTACGGGCAAATCTTCCGATTATGAAGCAGCGTCGTCGGATCTGCATTATCCTCAAAGTTCGTGGTAACCATATACGACGGCGCATGACCACCCTCTACCCAGCTAATAAGCGTGAGGAAAGAGTCATGGACGTAGTTGGCGACGACGTTGGCGGGGGTGAAGTTGAAGAAGTTCCCGGCTTGGTATGGGCCGGCTAGGTACCATAGGGCGGACATGCAGGTGGGGGTACCGGTGCAGTGTCTATCTTTGTGTTAGTCATCTTTGGGGGTTGTCGTGGGAGGTTGGAGTTGGGAGACGAGGGAAGGGGGACTCACTCTAATCCCGGAATCAAGTAAAGTTGATAATGTTGATCAATGTCGATGCCCTTCCCTAAGGCAGCGTACGTGGCTCTGTGATGATAGTACACGCTGGAACCAGGAGACACGGCCGAGTCCGACATGCCGTGCCAGTGGAAAAATTTTCCGCCTCTGTTGAAGAACGGCGACAGGTCGAAGTTATCCGCGTTTGCATGGGCGGGATTACTTGCGTCTGCCTCGGCGATGAGTTCGTATGTCAGGTCCTGTGCCGTGAGGTTCTTCAAGCCGAGGACGTTTTCAATGTACCATGATTTGGAGTGCTGGTTGCCGAAGGTAGTGTTCCATGTGGGTTCACTGCCGAACCATGCGCCGGGGTAGATAAGGTCTTGGTCGAAGGTGGTCCAGTCGTTGTAGATCTTGCGGAGGGTATCCAGTTGTGGTGCAGTAAGGCAATTGGATGTCTTGTTACTGCTACAGGCTAGCGCTTCGGGGTTGAAGAAGCAGCCTTGTGGGTTCGAGATGATGGAGTCTATGAGATTGTCTTGGGGATCACATTGGCGGAGGACCTCGTCCGTGATGACTGGGTATAATGTGGGTGGGATTGAGGAGTTTGATTGGGGTGCTCCGCCGATAGTTGTCTGCTTGTAGTTGTAGAATGCCTGGTGTGTCATCCACCAGTTTGGGGCACCCGCCATAGCACCATCGTAGTCTTCGGGGTATGTCTGGATGGACTTCATGACTTGTCGGCCTCCGTCGGAGCATCCGGTGATGTAGCTGTATTTGGGTTTGACGCCATACCAGGCCTTTACGATAGTTTTGGCGGTAAGGGTAGATACGTGCAGTGCTCTATGACTCCAGTCGATGAGACCATTGGGGGTCTCCCAACCTGGAATGTGGTCTGGCTCGTCGTGACCGGAGTTAGAGGCGAATGTGGCGAAGGCGTAGCGCAGACCTGCACTTGCTACGCCCCAGGAAATTCCGGAGTCGGGGGCTGCCATCCTGGAGGTCATTAGTTAGGAGCAGCTTGCGAGTGTGCAATTCCATACATACATAATACTGCCGTTGAAGTGGGTAGGAAGAAGTGCTCCCAAGCCCCAAGTCGCGCCCTGTTCATTTGTTCCGTTGACTCGGAACGCACATACAGGTGGAATATCGGTGGTAAACGTCGAAGCGCCAACATAGTCAGTAAACTCATCCAAAGTTTCATTGCTGTCGATGTAAAAAGCGTACGGAACACTCAATGTCATTCCATTGAGCCCTGGAAGTTTGTTTAAAAAGGCCTGCAAGCCGCTGGTGGTGCAATTGGGCGCATTGACTGCCGCGTAGGTGGTGGCGTTCTCGTAGGCGCAAATATCACCTGCGGGTAAGCTGCATTTAAATTGCGCACTGGCAACGACTAGAAGTGATGCCCATGTCGCAAGAGCTAGTGAGAGACCCATGTTGGAGAATACGGATGAACAGCAATGGTTATGTCTATCCTATTAGCCATGGTGATGGGAAGCGCATTTATAGCTGACTTCGTTTCTGGACTTCGTCAAGTCATCTCGGGAGCCCGTCGGGTCTGCCCTGCTCCGAGAGGCATTTCGAAGCCTCATACATATTGAGCTGTCCGGTCGTCTTGCAATGACGCGTGAGGCGTTTCGTAAATCCGTCATTTCCCCTGCAGATCCGAAGCTTAGCACCCACCTCGAGACGAACCTGTCACAGCTCTATTAAGTCCCTTTAAATACTTACGCCATCTTAAAGAGATCGCGAGAGGAAATCTGATGTGACAAGTTCCTTAAGACTTGGCCATCGAATGTCGTCTTTGCAGTCTATTCTTAGGGCATAATTCATGTCCCTTACCCGCAAGGGTAGATAATTGCCGGTGAAGAACAGGTCGGGGATACTTGGACATTCCCCACCCGAGGATCGACGAGTTGGATCCTCGCCGATTCTCAACGAATCCGCCCCACGGACCAACGCGCCGTGTCCACTTGAACCGACTTTAACTTGCGGAGATTAATCCTCATTGAGCGTAGGCAACCTATCTTGTTCAAACCAAGCCTGCGCTATGAAGCTTGGCCTTTCCATTACCCACCGTCCCTATCATATCAAAGACAGGTTATCAGTAAGTTGAAGGAGCCCTGCCACTAGATAGCAACCGGGGATTTCTGATCAGGTGTCCCTGGTAGACAATTGACTCCTGAGGTTCACCCCCAACACTGGGCAAGGACTTCAGTTGGTCATGGACTCTGCCCTATTGTGCAGAGACCTTGCGAAACATAACTCAAAGACAATGACGTGTGCCGTCATCTCTAACCTTGGAGTTCGTCTACGTTCCATATTAACCCACAAATAGAATGAATGGACCAATTTCGAACCAATCACATTTCCTCATAGATATATGTCCACTTGTTCTGACCAAGACGTAGTATGGTTGAGAGGTGGTGATACTTCCTCTTACAACATATAATAGACTATCAAATGTACCATAGCGGCAATCACAAGCAAGCATAAACACATCTTCACATACAATTCCAGACAATAAAGCAACCTTCCTGTCCCGATCATCTGCGCTGCTTCCCATATCTGTAGGGGTCCTTGCTTGACTGCTGAAAAGATCTCTCCTATTCGTACACCTCGCTGCTGCTGTCGCGATGGCCTAAAGATAATCGTCTCGCAGATGGGTGGCAGGAGACTGGCCTGCACCAGAATTAACACCATATAAGAGGGAAGGAGGAGAAACAGCTGGGCAAAGAGCATAAGTGCCGATATCAGGATGTCGGATCTCACCATATACGACAATCCCTCTATTGTGACGTTCTCGCTCGACGCCGGAGCGAGACGACTATTGAGTGGGCCCGGGAAATGCATCATCATTGCCTCGGCCGTGGAATAGATTAATGTGGGAAGCACAAGAGCTCTCCATCGGCGGAGATCGTGGGGGCTAGGCACGAAGCGCAGCTGGTCGCGCTGAAGGATGGTTTTCGCGGTCCAGAAGAAACGGGTCTCCGCGAGCAGGACCGATGCAAAAACATACGCCACCTGACTAGGAAGCAGGATAGTCGATAGGTTAGTCACCAATGAGTGCATCACCCAGTAGGTGCAAGCGGAATAGATGCCATTGAGGAGAAGAGAGAAACCTCCTCTGCGGTAAAGGGCGGCACTAGTTTGGAACAAGTAACGACTTGATGGAGCTAGCTTCTTGTCTGCGACCTTAGACACATTGGCCTGCTTCTCCACAGTTTCGAGGATTGAGATAGACATTAAGACATGGCCAATGATGTATCGGACCTATGCTCTGTTAGTTCTTGCGGATAATGATAGTTCTTTGTTAGTGGCTTACTAGAATTCTAAGGACAATCCCAAGAGAAATTGGTGCTAAAAGTAAACCCCTGTTGGTTTGAGCAGGACCCTTTTGAAAGAATTGATGAGCTCGTGCAAGTAGGGGATAATCTCCTGCGGAATAGATGATGGTATTGAGGAGTTCGCGAAAGATGGTTAACAGAGACTGTGGGCTTGGAGTGTATGCCATCATGTATCTGGACAGTGAGCAGAGGTGGGTTATTGAAGTTGATGTCTCTCCGTTCATGTGATGGAAGGACAGTAGACATTATGTTTTGTCTGAAACCGAGAGAGTTCATATGTTGCTCCATCTGTCCTATCACAAAAATCGCGCATCTCATGTTGAGAGCACTAACTTGGTGGAGGCTAATTCCGGACTACTGCCAAGCTACTGCCAAGCTAAAGTCAAGCTAATGCCATGTCCACTTTTTCATTTTCAGGGTCTCAGTCGTGGGCACAGAGAATGGCGATCGGAGGAGCCCAGTGAACAGGTATATTGACGGCCCTATCTACACTATAAATGACTCAGAAGCATTTCAGAAGCATTAATACATCAATCCGGAATCTCTACGAAGCACTTCATAGTTGTCAATAGACCTAGTTCAAGGCAGGAGCTTCCTAGGTGGTAAGCCTATTTCTTTCAGACCCTGGTCGGATTCTGAAAAGGCTGCGAGACATGCTTCTACTAAGCTATCTTAGTAGCCCCACCCAATGTAACCACTACTAAATACATGATATCCTATTTGTCTTCGGCCACATTAGTCCGGACTAGAGACCGTTTTGCTGTTGCTCAAACTAGGTCGTTCGTATGTCACGCTCTTATGATACTAGCCCCTTAGTGGTCTCCACGGAAGCACCTTCGTCCATACTAACTTCATGGTTGCTAGTTAAAAAACGAGCTTTTCCGAAATTAGACCAAGACTAGGATAGGTAGTACCAGTCTGTGAACATCAGGCAAGCACTCATTCATGCTCAAGTACGAGGATCTTGTGCACTCCCCGGCCTTATAAATAGAGGCAATTCACCCGCTGGATAAACTCGAACACAAGGACAGCAAGCTATTGTTCAATCAGTCTCCCGGCTCACATCTTCAAAATCTCCTCTTTCTCTGCTTTTACCCTCTCTCAATCTGCTTCAATATCAACGAGAACTTCATCGATATGTCTTCTAGCTGGGATGCTACTCGGGCGAACCACCCAAGGCCAGCAGCTTAGCTATAGCGACAGCATCCAAGCATTAGCTTTCGGGAATATCGCTACCTCCTCCGTGGAATCCAGCGGCGATGTCTGGCTTAACATCACTGGATTCGCGGAGAAAGAACTCCCACACCTCCAGACAGTGGTGGGAATCCACTCCTTGGATAACGCCCGTGAGCTACATGTGATCGCGAATCTGGCGCAAAGCGCCGCAAGTCAGGCACTCTGGGGTGATCTCGTGTTTCTGTATAACGTCTTCTCAATGAACGCCTATCCTGCATACGCCGATGTCACAACGGCGCAGATGCAGGCCGGTCTGCTGGACGCTGTGAGTGGCGAGAACGGACCGGAAGAAAGCCTGATCGAGCTCTACGCCAGTAGATCGAGCGCCTCGAGCCTAGGGGCTGCGTACCGCGCACTTACCTCCCAGTACAGCAACCAGTAACAGAGCAAGGCTACCAGTTTGTCTCCGGTAGCAGCGGAACCCACAATGACGACCACTGCCGCCGTCGATAAACGCGAGATGGACTCCCGCAACCAGATCATCTGCAGCGCCGCGCACGTTGCCGTGGGTGCCGCTTGTATTGCACTGCTTGGGCGCATTCGGGTCGATGGGAGCTGGAAGTCCGGCGGCCCACGCGATATCTGCTACGAGGGTTGCTGTATCAGCTGGAGTGCCAATGCCACCTTCCAGATAGAGAACCTCTATAACGATGCCCAGCGCTGTTGCAATGCCTGCTTGAACGTTTCTGGAGGTGTAAGCTGTGAGGCTTACAACGTTAGTCTGCAAGGAACCATTGTCAACCAGTGCTTGAGCAACCGGCCGAATGGATGCGCTTAGACTGGTACCAGAGCCGTGGGTATCCACCTGGAAAAGCGAAGTAAGGAGGGGGTCACGCCAGAGTGGTAGATGTGCAGTGAAAGGTAGAGCTTATTACAGCTTGGAAGGCTCAAGAGACTGGGGTGTTGGCCTGACATAGCAGACATGAGATAGCGTTCGCGACGCAACAGGGACGGGTGGACCCTGGAGAAGTATATCACTAGTATTTCTTTTGTAAGATTACTTAACTATACATACATTCCGAATCAGTTAGATAGGAGCTTGGTGGAAATAACGAGGTATTGTGATTATGTCGGTGTAATCGTTGTGTCCATTTCGCTGGGTTCGACGTAATGTTGTCTAACCATCTTCAATTTTCGCAGTTGATCCTCAGTCTTGCTGAAAGGTTATGATATCCTGTCGAAATATATCTCATATGAAGATGTCATGCTCAATCCCAGTCGTTAATCTCCATTATGAAATTAATAAGGCGCCTTCATGCCTTCGATTTTCCTAGCAAACTGTACATTTGGCAGTTACTCTGGTTCAAAGATACACTCTCGCAAGTGGTGGCTAGCATGCTTTGCGAAGGGAGGAAAGAAAAAAAAAAAAGAAAAAAAAAAGAAAAAGGGTCACCCAGCAGATCATTAAGGGGGCCTCCCTTATATATAATTCGCTAAGTCTCACGATTACAACTCAATACTTAGCCCCTCAATCTAATGCGACCTAGACTACTCAATAACTGCTCTTAAGAGACTTCAGTGTGTACTCTTCAAGGAAACTTTGAGACACTCTACGCCCACAGTTTGTTTGTTCATTACTTTCTTGAACAGAGGTTTGAAGGAAGGGGTCAACTATCATGCATATCACAACAATGCCACGTTATTTAAGCTGTCGTGGCCCAACGATCGCAGGTAGTAAAGTACACTGTAAATTATCTGCTTCAAATAGTCACATGTTCTCTCCCAGGACGTGCGCTTGTCAAATCAGCCACTCGGTTGGTTGCCTGATGGGCGAGGCGGAGGGGGTCCATGTCTCACTTGACGGAGCTTTGCGCCAATGAAACTACCGGAATCGCAGTCAATCCGGCGGGATGGCCCACATGGAACTGGCTGAGACCCCAGTCGGTTAGCAGTGGGTGCAGGGTCAGCATACAAAAGCTTTCAGGAATGAAAACGGCTTCTGTCAGTTTCGCTGTTGGCATTTCAACTTAGTACTATCCGAACGCTGGCGCTGGATGGCTTTGAATTTTGCTCCCACAGTAGAAAAGTAGAAGTAAGTTGAGAATGAACAGCAGGCATCTGACATAAAGGGTATATTTACGGAGTTTAACAGCGCACATGAGGAAATCCTTCCAACTTTGGACTCCTCTAATACGTATTGAGTGTATTCATTGAGTGGCAGAGGATGTGGACTTTCCGGCTCACCCACTAGTCTTGCTTACCCACTGGTTTCCCTCACCCACTGGCCTATGCAGACCATTTATCTCCGAAGAAACAAATCTTCGATGCGATGTCTCAAAGTGACCTCGACTTTTGGAGGCTGCCAATTGGCGGTACAAAAGCCTAGTGGGACAGCCATGGATCAACGGCCTGCCCAGCCATAAGACCGCTAATCCCTATGCACCGATATTATTTACCAGACCCATGTCCCGAGCTTCCCATCCCTGACCGTCTAACCTTGACCATCCATCCTTGCAGTTGTTAGTCGAGTTTTCACGGCTCTGACCTTGGTCGGCCCTAGCCCGAGCACCATTGAGGCTAGATGTCCAGTTTTTGATATAGCCTTTGACCTTGGATCATGGTATCACCCAAGTCTATGGTAGTTTCAAGACTTGGTCAGCAACGGAACAGCAGATCGTATATGGAGGCGCAAGCAGACTGCGGTCGCTAATCATTACCGGAGGGGTTCTTACCCTGCCAGTAACCTGGGTGAGCAAGAAAGGCTGTTGTTATTGACTAGTCAGTGAGAAATAGCATGGGCGAAAGAAACGAGGTATTTACTAACTTAGTAGAAGTCATAGACTTTCCGTTCTATAGGAAGCTTTAGTAGCCATGTTTAGCAAATTCTTTATAATTTTGTAGAAAAGAATCTAGAGTTCTAGTTCATTAGATAATATTCTACGGCGAGACTCAAATGAAAGTAAAAGGAAATAAAAGCGTACAATCAAAATATATTATATTCACTATTAGAACTCGCGGCAGAATAAGCATGAGGAGGTGTTTTGTATGGCAGCCTAAGTGTAAACCGCATGGTTAAATCTAACAATATTCCTGTCTTATCTTCGACCATTCTTAACGTCTGGGATAGAAGTAATTGGGGCGCGGAAATGAATCTATCCACAGCAAATGCCAGTTGATGAAGCATAAGTAGCTCACTATAAAGAGATCAGCCCACACAGGTTTCCACATACTATCTCCTGCAGTTATAAGTGAGATATAGTCTCATACAAGACCTATATCACTGATCAAAAAGCAATCGACATGGCTCTAATTATTATCATAGGTGGTCGATAACTGAAGGTCGTAAAAATGACATCAATCTGCTCAGGAAACCGGACCCTTATCCGAACCGATCATAGAAGTGAGGGGACATTATGCGTGATTGAACAGAGTATATGAGAGCATGATAATTCCTTTGCCTTCTTGCTACATTTTCTAAGCTATCTCAATGATTCATTCAGATTGATTACAGGACTGTGAGCCATAATGTCTACCTCTGGCTGTAATATCCTTTCCAACCCCTCCTTCGAGACAGGCTCTCTATCGCCATGGTTCACCACAGCCTCAGATGTAGCCAGAGTCACGACTGCCACTCCTGCCTACACTGGAAATTACTCACTGTATGTCTATTAACCTCTTCATCTACCCCAATCTAACGCATATAACAGCGACCTCACAACTGCCATCGACAACAGCCCCAATTCCTTCTCCCAGACCCTGTCTAGTCTCAACCGTAGCACGACTTACGACTTCTCCGTACAAGTCAAGCCCTCCGTGTCTGGGGCAGAATTCTGCCATATTTCCGCGTACCTGGGATTGAACACAACTAGTGATACTATTGCTACCGCCGATCTCGAACCTAGTGATCAGTGGACCGCTGTAACCGGGGAGTTCACGGCCAATCGGTCCGCAGATGTGCTGACAATCAGTGCAGCGTGCACGTCGCCTGACAACTCGTATACTTGGCAGGTGTACTTTGATGAGGTTGTTGTGGAGAGGAGTGGATGCAGCGACTGAACTTGACTGGGACTCATGAGAGACATTCTGTAAATAGAGGGTGCCCAGCTTAGTGCGTCGAGTCTCCCATGCAATTTCCATACCCAAGACATTCGTGGCATTTAACCACCCACCCTTCTATTCCAATGAAATGAGAAGTTGCCTACAGCCAATTCATAGTGTAGTATTCTATGTGATGCGTACATCTGGCGTTATAACTAATTATACTCGTCTGGAAAATGTCAGTTTCTATTTTGGTAAGCCTTGATGCCTGAGGCGGATGCGGCTTCGGCCCTATCGGTCGTATCGGGCTAAGATGGCTTACGGCCGACGCCCAAACCTTTTCCAGACCAACAACCTTCCTGGTCTATCCTGCAGTGCATGCCGCACTGCAGAGTAGACAGCCGACCTAAAACAGATTTCGGCCAGAATACTCGTACAATGACTAGTCCGGGCGTATCCAATACAAGAAAGCGCAGACGCCCGGCGTATTCATGTGTTTCGTGCCGCCGTCGCAAAGTCCGATGCGATCGGGCCAACCCGTGTCGACAGTGTGTGACCCAGAATATTGCTTCAACCTGTACATATGAGCAGAATCGCAATGCGCGTGCCGGTCGTGAAACGGTGCTCTCTACGACTAATGAAACAAACTATCAAAGGCAAAATGTTTTTCAGGAGAGTAATAGTGGCCAACCTTCACACACGCCTCACGCTTCATCGCAACAGGCTGCATCAACCCCGGGCCAGATCCGAGGCATGGTGTCAAAGACAAGAGTGTTCGGGCAGGGACATTGGATGAATATTTTTTCATTGGTAAGCTGACTCACATATCAAATCTATGCTTGTATTGACGATGTTACAGACAGAAGGGCTGCCCAGCTTGCAGCCTCTCATGGGCCTCTACGACACCATCATACGGAATACAAGCCACGGCCCCTTCGATGCCATTGCTGATAAGATTGCTCAATGCAAAAGGCTAGCTCGAAGCATCAAAAGCCAAAGGCCAAGTCGTAGTAGCCTCCCGACACAGATTCATCAGTCACTTCCTGGTTCTGATATCGTCCTTGAATTGGCCCAGCTCTATTTCGCCTCATTCGAGTCATGCTACCGGATACTTCAGAAGACTTCCTTCATGAACCATTGCCAGACGTACCTGAATAACTACGAAGACATGGATATTTGTATAGTCTTGCAAATCTTTCTCGTGGTCGCTATCGCAGGTCCCTTGCATCAGGATAACAATGTTCGTATAGATGTAGCGTCAAAAGCTGGAATGTGGATTCATACAGCCCAGACATGGCTATCAGCCCCACTGGAAAAGAACCGCTTAACTTTGGGAGCCGTCCAAGTCCACTGTCTTCTCCTCTTGGCCCGCCAAGTAAGTCAGGTTGGCGCCGATCTGATCTGGATCTCCACAGGCTCATTGATGAGGATGGCCATGCAGATGGGTCTGCATCAAGATCCCAACTGTCTGAGCGAGATGGAGTCCACGGAAAAAGAACTCAGGCGGAGACTCTGGTACACTATTCTAGAACTAAATCTACAGTCATCCTTGGATTCCGGGATGGTACCAATGATCGCAACTGGAGACTGGAATACTGAACCGCCGAAAGATAGCAGTCTCGAATCCGAGCCAGAGATAGGCGAAGAGGAAGGTCCAGCGGCTCATAAGGCAACTGATTTCCAACCTATACTGTCAAAGTCAATACCAGTCCGTCTGCATGCCTCCAGACTCATAAACGACTTGCGAGAGGAACCGCCCTACGACGAGGTCCTTGAAATCGGTAAAGAACTAGCCTCAGCGTGCCGCGACGTCTCTGTCACGCTTGACCAGATCAACTCTGCACCCCCGTTAGATCAGTTCGCATCCAGCTTCTGCACCCATCTAATTCGACGCTTTACCTTGTGTCTCCACTACAAGTTTGCCATCATGGCAAGGGCCAATCCCCTATTCAGTCACTCTCGCAAGGCCGGTGTCGAAGCCGCACTAGATATCATAGCACTAGTCGAAGACAGTCTGTACGGTCGTGTCCTCCGATGTGGAGGTGGCATGTTTCGTGACATCGTGACCCGTGCGGCAATACTCATCTTCTCAGAATCCAGTCCCGATCCAGAAGCGGAAAGTTCAAGTCTAGCGAAAAGAAGGGATTATGCTCGTCAGGAAACTCTTTTGCAAGATGCCCGCTGCGTGGTCCAGTATGCAAAAGAAAGACTTCACTACGGAGAGACTAATGTTAAGATCTATGTCTTTTATAATATGATGTTAGCCCAGGCGGAAGCTAGGCTTAATGGTCAGTCCGAGGAAGAGGCAGTTTCAAGAACACTGCATGAAAGCGTGGATGTCTGCTACAATATGATGCAGGACATGGTAGCCAGGGCATCTATCTCCGCTGGACCTAGTACTGCATACTTTGGAGATAGTCTCAATAGATCGGATAACTTTGGGGAATCCTTAGACCGCGGCTTCGATTACATTCAAGACAGCGACTTCAACTTGGACTTTCCCGACCTGCAACTCTTCTCGGGATGGTGATGTTAATAGTGGAAATGGTCAGGACGAGATACTATGACGACAAATAAATCTCATGAAGCTCAATGTACAAGCTAGGTACGCCCAGTACCAAAACAAATTCTATATAATACCGCAAAACCGCCAGAACTCCCGATACTTATCAGTTGTCGACCATGTTCGGATACTCCGGCAGTCTCCAGTCCTTGTTGCAATCTTCACGCAGAATCCATTGCGCGAGGACGTCCAGTCTCAAGAAGGATGCTATTGCAAACAGGAGGTACACGACAGTGATCCCCAATGTAGACGAAGGAAGCCTGCTCATGTAATCGTGATCGTCCAAGAGTCCCTTTTGGACATTCACCATGAAGGGCTTGAGCTTATCCTCATAACTTTTGAAAGTCTCCGCGATATGCTCCTTGGAACCAGTGCCCTTCGCACAGCGTTTGCCGATCTCCCCTGCCAGAATGTAAGCACCGACCATGGCACACGGCGTCCCCATTCCTGTCATAGCAGATGGACAATAAGCCGCATCCCCGACCAAGACCACACGGCCCCGCGACCAGCTATCCAGATTCACCACGCCCATGCGCTCACAATAGAAATCGTCCGCCTCTTCCATACCGCGGATAATCTCCTCCGATTTCCACCCTGCATCCTGAAATACCTGTCCCATAACCTGCTTCTCCCTCTCGACATCGCCCTTGGGGCAATCCTGGAAAGGTCCAGCCTTGCAGAACACATACGCCTGTATCTTGTGCGGATCATGACGACGCATCATAATCCCCCGTCCCTGCGTAGTCATATACACCGTGGCGTCGTATCCCTCTCCCTTCTTCAGCTCACTCTCAATCGTGAAATACCCAGCACACACACCAATCGAGTGAACCTGATCTTCACCTTCAAGCATCATCGACCTCGTACGAGACCCCAGACCATCCGCACCAACAACGAGATCAAATTGCTCTTTCCTTCCATCCGACAAGACCACGTCAACAAATTCATCAGTTTGGTGCATCTCCACCACATACACACCAAATAAATACTCCACGCGATCCTTAACAGTATCATGAAGCAAATAGCAAAGATCCCCCCTCATAATCTCATAATCGGTAGTAAAGCTCTGCAATCCTTTTCCACTTCGATTCGCAGGGAAATATCCCCATCGTCTGTCGCGGCTATCAACAAGCTTTAGACCTTGCTCTGGGACGGTGACTTTGCGAAAGGCTTTCTCGAGACCCATTCGTTGTAGGACTTCAATACCAGGACTGCGGAGATCGACTTGAAGTCCTGTGGCTCGTAGACCAGGGTATCGCTCGATGATTGTGATATTGTGACCGAGTTTGGACAGCCAGAAGGCGAGGGCGTTGCCGGCGATGCCTGCGCCGGATATGAGGATTTTGAGACCGGTCATGGTTTGTCTTCAACCGAGGCTGGTGTTGTAAGGGTTGATAGAAATAGAGGATAAGAAGGGATACTCATGGCGAAGAAGAGGCACTTTCTACATATATATACGGTGGAATAGCATCATCTTCTAGCTATCCCTTCAGCGAGGCAGTCCGGTATATGACCGATAGGGCCGTTACGGCCGCTACGACCGAAAATCCCGTGATATCCGAATGCCCGAATTGCCCGAGTGCTGAGATGGCGTAGGAGTGGGGGCCAATTGGCATTAGGGGTAATTATTCGATATCAAAGATGTCATACATATTGCTAGAACATATTCGCTGGGTTGTTCAGCAATCTCGTGGTTCGCACACACCACTTATCCTTCGCCGGGTCGGCCGGTAGACTGGTATTATTGTGCATTTTCAGGTGTCAACCAACAGACTGGGAAATACAACGTGATGACTGGACTTGGAAATGTTTCGGGGTGGAATACAACCACAAGGGGCTTTGTAGGGCTGGACAGAAAATTCTCGATCTGTGAATCGGACTTCAGTTTTATCAGAGTTCAGTGTGCGAGTCGGTAACTCTGTAAGATTGCGTAAGGATAATAAGTAATCCAACATCATTTTGAGGTATAGGACTTCACTGGCCACTAAGGTTTCCATACTAGAGTGTTGTGCGCTATGTGAGGATATGTGCCTTCCTATAGATTGACATACGATTGGGTTGGTGGACAAGTTAAGCATATTACACATCGTAGCGTACAATTCTAAAGGATCCCGGTGTTATCTATTTTAGACAATCGCAGTATTACAATGTTCAGTGCCGGAAGTATTACCCAAGTACGGCATTTTTATACACCAGCCCTGACAGCTTCAACTGTGTCCAGGAAATATCCCACTTCATCCACTCGTATCGAAGCTTTGGAGCTTCTCTCATTCTGAGTAAAAAAAAACTCAAGACGTAACTCGTGCATTGGCAGTTATATAAAATCAAATAAAAATATGTGTTCTAACTCCTTTCCCATGGCGCATATAGATGGTCAGTCAGTAGTAGCCTGTATGTCTCAACAAGCAACGACATTGACATCTGCATCAACCCCTGCTCTCTCTGTAATGGTCAGCAATCTTCTCAGTAACATGTTTCCGTCTTTCATTTGCCAGTTTTGTCGACTGTGTCATCTGCTCCTCTTCACGCGGATTTGGCACTCTCATGGAGCTGGGTTCGTAAGACACTCCGCGTTTTTTTCCGGACGAATTACCCTTGTTTATCATAGCGTCAGCCTGGGAAGCACTAAGGTTAAGTCTGAACGCAGCTTCGTCACGGCCTGCTTTCTTGTCGCCTGAAGACATGATGGTGATAGGGCCTTGTTGCTGGATCAGTAAAACAATGGTGAGTGAGCCTGAGAGATGCCTGTGTGACCTTTGGTATCAGGAGAATGCGGAGATAGATCTGAGAATAGCAGATGAAATCGAGGAAGATTGATCTGGTATCTCTGGTTAGAATCTCTTGTCGAAGAGGACAAAGAGGCATATCTATCCCTGGTGTTGGAAGAGCTGCTCGAAGACATTATACTCATATTAAGTGCTGCCAGGATGGTGCCGATGAGTATAGTTTGCCTGTCAGTATGTCGCGCGGTAGAGGATATATACGTGCTGCGTTGAGCGAAGGAATACTCCTATCAATATCAGTATAGAGGAGCCATACGATGGCAATCGTCCAGATGTAGCCACAGCCAGTGTTTATTAGAATCCGAGATCATACAATTTGGTAAGGCTGTGTGATTAATTGGAGCCAATGTTGAGGGACATAATGTTCTTGTTTCCTGGTCCTGATATTATCTATCATTGAAGTTTCCTACCCAGGCATGTACCAGATGACAGCAGACGTCTGAGTTATTGAGTTAAAAGGGGAATGAGTTGTCATCGGGTTCTATCCATAAAATTATGGCAGTAATAGCACTAGTAGAGATACTCTTGAAATTGAGCGTCGAAGACGGACGGGGCTACCCTGTGATCCATGTATTGAGTATGACATACAACTTAAGAATAAAAGACTTCTCTAAAAACTCTCCATAGAGGTGCAGGACATGCATGAAGTATAAGGTTTTACTTATTTAGAAAGCTACGAAGTTAAATTAAGCTTAAAAGGATAGAAAAGTAACTTGCCGGCCTCTAACCTACAGAATCCTAGTCTACGAACCCAATCATTTTTCAGACAAAAGAAAATAGTAACAGACTTTATGAATATTAATATTATTGATGCAAAGATCAACTCCCTGATGATAACTATCTACTCATTCAGAATTCAGATCCTAGATTGAGTAGCAAAAGGACCGTTTCATAAAATCATATACATCTGGCAGTTTAAACTTAGGGATACCCCCCTCCCCCAAAGTTAGTCCTCAATTTAATGCCACCACTGGCTCCCTTCTACCATTGCACCATCACCTCCATTTGTGATCACGGCATCCGATCTTGTAACTCCCAGGAACCCAGTATACTCAAGCGCCAACGCTCATAGCAATAAGCCCTGGGCATGTGATATAATCTGCTACTGATTGAAGGCGTAGACATGTTGTCAGACAGCTATTTTGCAAATTAGCAAGATCGTCGACTAACTTCATCTACTCGTGGTCGTGATTCAGGGTCATTCCGGCTACGATGCGACGATCTCATGCCTCCCCATGTGCTCCTCAGCGCAAACATGCAAATCGTGGGCGTTACAGACTGGGAATTCTCCTACGCAGCACCGGCAGAGTTCTCGGCTGCATCGCAATCTGGCTACTTCTCGAACAACCAGAGTATTGGCCAGATGGTATGGAATCTTGGACGGGGGTTATTCGAGCATAGGCTGCAACCTTGTATGAACGTGTTGGTTGATCGCTAGGAGGCCCTCATAGAATTCTGGACGCTGAAAAGAGGGACAAGGGCCCTCAGGGCCTATGCAAGAGAGTTGGGAGATTGGTGATTTTTTTGGTCAGTTATGCAGCGCGAAGGAACTTTGCTTTTGATACGACCTTCTGGCAGGAGATTGAGCGGTTCTTCGGGCCTGCTGAGTCGCCTGAAGTGTCATGGAAAATGACAGTCAAATTGGTTTATGAGAAGCAGAAGAAGTAAAGACATGGGCAGAAGAAGCTAGATGATAGGAATGAGAGGTTTTGGCGTGGGAGTTTTGATGAATAGGGTGTTGTTTGTCGTTCATAATTTGTACGCCTTGAGGAGCAAGGTATAGGAATCGGTATGGTTCTCAAGGTTAGGGTGTTCCAGACAACTTCAACCCTCTAGTTTTGAGCTTCTCTATAATCACTGGCATTAGGCGTTCCGGGCTAACTGCCGAACTGATCTACATTAGCTCCCTTTGAGGGCAATGTGCGGGAGATCTTTCATCCGCTGTACGATATGCCGAATAATCTATCCGTAATATGGATGGCACTCTACGGTGAAACAACTATCTGACGGGTCATAAAGATACCCTGACCTCGGTGCAGATGTAGGCAGCAGACTTAATTGATAGATGCCTATGTAGCACTGAATTGCAGCAACGACACGTAACCTTTACACCTCGAGGATGCAGCTACGAAAGGGGCTGTGTTGATTGTTTGAGGGGTACGGAGTAGTCTAACCTCTTTGCGAAAGGATCCGAGTCTCGTGATCAGCATCATGCAGTGCGGGATTGGATGTGTGAGTATGTGATTGGCTGTTGAGCTGCAGAACGTCTCTCCCCGCTTCCAGTGGCGGGTATGGGGTAATGATAGGTTGGTGGTCTCAAAACTGAGTCGCCAGTGCAGTAGGGAGGCACGAAACAGCATTTTCTTAGAAATCACGACTCGGTCGGTAATTCCACACATTTGTAAAAAATGATAAATAGCATAAGTGCAATAACCAGCTTGCTTCTCAATTCAATGCTAATCCTCGGTAATTGAACCAGCAACTTAATGCCCGGTCAAAAATCATAATCCCGAAACCACAAATCCATGCCTCATCTCTTCCGGAGAGTAAAAGGAAACCCAAACTCCATATGCGCCATCATTCATGAAAGCCGTAACCATATTCCACGCTAAGTGTGCCCGACTGTAATGCAATGTTGTCCCTTCCATCAAGGATAATTACTGAAGGTCATAGACGACCAGCGCCCGTTCGATATCCTGAACTGTTTCTTTGTCGCCGTAGGCATCCATCAGGGCCCGGTTCTTTCGAAGACGTTCCTCTTCTTCACGGTCGAACTGGGGCTGGCGGGCTTGGTTTTCGTAGTAGTTGGCGACTCCGAAACCTATAGTTAATGGTTAGATGGTGGGAGTGGATTTGTGTGTTGAAGGGTGGTAGGTACCAAGAGCTATGGCGCCCATGAGCGGGAGATACCTGTATTCATTAGCTATTATTCAATACGTCATCTGGGAAGTGAAGGCACGCTCACCATCTGCTAGGCTTCTTGAATGCAGGACTTAAAGTAGGTCTCTTGATGAAAGGCTGCGAGCCAGAGGGAGAAGCCGAGACGTTCATGGTTGGTAATGTTGTAGTGATGATTTGATGTTCAATATGGTTGATTTGTCTTGATGAGTGCGAAGCGGATACTGGAGGATTCAAGTGACGGCTAGACCAAGGTTTATTTATAAGATGGGGGAGTTCCCGACGATCACCTTATTTTCGGGTTGGGGGAGTGGAGAGTATCCTGATTATGGCATGATCGGGAATCGTCATACGATGGATTTGCCGATCCCCCTCAACGTCACAGCATACCTGCATCATGCAGCATATTCATCAACATGATGTTGCATGTGGGAATAGTACATTGAATCAAGCATGGCTTGTGATTATTACAACATTCCCTACTCTTACTTGCCACTGAGCTAGGTATTGACTGGGGAGGATGAATGCGATGTCAGGTTTCACTATTTGGTAGATGAGCGATGAATAGCATCTCTGTCCTGTCTGCTATATAATCTGCTTCCGTCTATGTCTTCTCTCCTTTTCTTCCTTATCATCCTGCTATGCTGAGTCCAGGAATATATCGTACTACCCAATTTGATGTCCTTGCGCAGTGATATAGGGCTAAACTATATATATTGTACCCAAGCGCCCGAACGGCTTAGTGGTCGCGTGCGCTGCATGGGACACTCTGATTGAATCGGCCAATTACCATGTCCCCTACTACATCATATCGACTCTCTCTGAGTACGCGTGCTGACTCTCAACAATTTCTCTTCACAACAGGCTGTCATACTCGCGCTTGGCGGAATCATACATGCCTATTGAAAATGAACTTAGCCCTAGCATGTCCGGCTAGCGACAAAGATTCATAATCGGGCACTGATGAGGCAGAAGAACAAGTAATCTTCAAACAATTACCACATAAAAAGAGGTGGTAAGCACTTACCATACTCAGCTGATCGCACATCGACATCGAAACTCCCAGAGGTAAGAGGTAACATCATGAAGTAGTACTATTTGTTTCTAACTTATAGCCAGAGCAATGGGAACGGAAATCCCAGAAAATCGTCTAATCAACACAATATAACATCGGACACAGAGAACCTGGATTGTCATAGTCTCAGCAAGACTACCATCGTCATCAACATGATATGTTGAAATACTACCCAGCTCTCCACGAGTTTCTCTTCTTCAATCAGTCAAGTCTAGGGGGTTATCTATCTTAACCCTAATACTACCTTATGAGGTTGGAAATAGCTGCGAAGGGCTTTATAAGCGTCTGAAGCGATCGTACGCTCCATGATCTCAAAGATGATCATGACATATCTGCAACTTCCTACAGATGTTTCCTCGACAGGTCTTTCTATATATCTCCGCAGTACGGCAAATAGGCCCGGTGTTGAAATCACTCAAGTCTTCCTAATGCCTTCTTCATATGAAAACATTCCCGGAAAATGGAAATAGAGGGGTACTCCCTCGGGTGTACAACCATTCGGAAGGATCAAAACCTGAAGAGCCACGTACGAGGAAAAGGTTTTCTGGGTTACTGGCCTGGGAACGGTGAGGACACAACCCTGAGGCACATACTTATACTCTCTGTTGCTAAGTGCACTATATTTGGGCATTGCAATTCCCTTCATGCACCCGCTCAACCAAACATGAGCCATGCTCCAGCAACCTGATATTACTTGAGATATGGTATGGGTTTCCACTATACGAATATAAAGTAGGTCTCAGAAAGAAACAACTGTTATCAGATCACTGTGCTATGTCCGGCTTGAATTCGAGTACTGTGTCCTGTCCTTCTTGAATCGCAACTTTGGCAGATTGTTGCTATTTCGATACATGGGATCCGTGGCAGCATGGAGAGCGTTCGAGGTCGAGAAGCCAGGGTGTTTCGGAGAGTTGTCTGAATTCGTGCGAATGGATGAGCATGTTGAGTGAACACGTGGAAATCGATATGGAGGGCGTTACGGCGATATAAAAGCTGCACCATGGCCAAATACAGAACTTGCGCTTCTCATGCGCAGTGCTCATGTTGACACAAGAAGAGGAGGCGTATACATCGCAAATAAGACTCTTCGGATGATGTCTTGGCTTCGAAGATACTGGCAGAACCAAGAGAGCCCGAAGGAGGGGAATATCTACTCGGATAAAGAAAGAAGAGCATCTCAAGCATTGACGAACTTGGCATCTGTGTTCAAGGTACAAAGTCTTACGGAGACAATTCATCAGCTTATATACGCCAGAACCTCGGAAGCGGGCACACTAAGGAATTGATTAAAGCAGAGCACAGATGCCTACACGCTTTATTCTTCTCGCCAGCAATCTTGCCGGACCTGGATAGCTAAGTGGCGAGATTATTTATACTGTCTGCAAAGATAGCAAATTACCTGGCCTGTCGGGTCGCTGTCCCACACTACATATCAAACTCTATGGGACTGTTCATTCGTCTTCCTGGCTATGTGGGCTTTGTGGGGATGGCTCCATCGAAGAAGCTTCGCCCGCAGAGGAAGAGGGGCAAAATTACGAGGAGGTAGTTGATCATGGTCTTGATCTCATGCTATCCGATATTTGAATGCTTGGACGGACAGTTCATTCAATCTTGAGGATATTCGGCCATCCCCAACTCCACTTATATACTCTCTGAGAAGTAACCGAAGATCTGAGAAGACATAGGACTTCTTCCACGGTGATGTGCTCTGCGATTTATGCCGCGACGCAGATTACATAGTTGTCGACGCCAGTCTCTTCTCCAACTGGTGCAAGAGTGGAACAGGTTCAGCGATCCGAGCGATGCATCATCAAAGGAAATGGATTCCTCCGCGGCTTACGGGTACACCTATCAAGACAGAAATCCTAATCTTACAAAGTGGAATTCGAGAGACTTTCGTCGCTACTAAAGATACAGACCAGATGGGTTTTCATATCTGCACTACTGGAAAGTATCAACGCTTGGGTCCCAATGGAGAGGAAGATAAGGGACCATTTTGGCATTTATTCAAGGCCTCTAAACGCTGCAAGGAACTTCCAAGACAGCTTGGTTGTCTATAGGAAGTTCATTCCTAATGGATTTGAACTTCGTTGATTCGTGTATTCAACAAAGGAAAGTCCTGGAAGAGCCCAGAAAAATCCCTTGAAGTGATACGCAACAGCTACTCAGCTGTTATCACATTGGCTATGAAGAGCGACTCGTTCCTTTGCCACAATGCACCAGGCGAGAACATACATGTCTTTCTTTTATACTAAGCACCCATACCCCTGATCATAAAGCTCTGGGTATCTGGATGACCGTATCCGAGAGCCAGCGAGCCAGCGAGCCAACGATCAGACTGTTCTCAACATCGTAGATCGATATGATAACACGTCTTAGAATACCACGGAGATGAACGAAGACATGTCGTGGTGTATACCGTCTATGGACAATACATTTCGACGAAGGATCTTTCCAGAGCCACATCCCGTTTTGGCAGAAATTGGACCATCGCGGGGCTGTCTACCTCATAAAGGGAGCTATACCCAGGCCATCTTGAGCCAAAGTCATAGCCGTTATATAGATCACAGCTGTCAAGAATGCATTTCTATCATTGTTGACTGCCAGCCGCAGCAAGGAGATGTCAATTGAAGAATCAGAGGTGGAAATCGACAGCAGACTTTGGCACAGCTTCAGACAATATATGTCTCCGGCAATACTACTACATCGCATATACTGCTTGCTTGCTTGCTGGAGAGTAATCGAAGAAGAACGGCACAATGAGGCGTACAAAACACCAAAGGTCTCAAAACACAGAATATGGATAATCTATACAGGCGGTCTGTGTTTGACTATCTTTATATCTGCGGATGTGCTCAGGAACGACAGTCTCTATGCAAGATGGGCTTTACCACATACAACTCTTTAATGTCCTATGTTAATTGCAGATAACTAAAATATTGCATTACATACAATGAAGATCACATTCCGAGACGTGATTCTCTCGTCCAGATCACAATCACCAAACTGAATCGGTAGCAATAAAAGAAGTCCAGGACCTGTGGAGCACAGTCATATATACCCTCCAACCATCCCACATCCTACCAGCAAGACAACGTGTCCATATATTAAGACAACAAAAGACCCATGTCTTTCTGAGACTTCTATTCCGCGAAGGGATATCTTAAGGAACATCGAATATGCCATCATTTACAACTGGCCTTCGTCTCTCGCCCTATCTTGTTTCTACTAGACCGAGTACCATCCCGCTGTGCATCTCACAGAATACAACCAACTCCTATAGGGTTACTACATATAGTACTGGCATATTCGGCGTCACTCTCTAGCCAAGATCAGAAAGACAGGAATGCCAGACGGAACCTTTGACGCAACATGCCTTTGACTTCTGACTATACCGGTATTTCTACTCTGGTAGAATTCAGACTGCACAAAGATCAACAGGTTGAAGATGCTAGTTTGCTTCAGAGAGAACCGTACACTGGAAGAAGACATGTTTGGGGCTGTATGATCGCTACATAATTGTGTTGATCAATTACTATACCTTGGAGTCGAGGCAAGATCTCTCGGCCGTATCGAAGAGCCCCTGGTTAAAAGACAAAGCACAAGACAGGGATGGTTATCAAACAGGTACTCTGTCCCTTCACTGTGAAGCAATCAAAAATTTGGACGACGAATATCTTGCCAGATTGTTCTGTTCAGGTTGGTAAAAGAACCTTTCAGCGTGCAGCTAAATACGATTTCTCTCATGAGCATTGAAAGAATTAGTAGAAGAACATTGAAAGCAGATATCGCCATGCAAAACAAAACCTCCCCGGTCCAAGGGAGATAAGAGGGTGTATTTATCATATCGACCCAAGAGTAAATGGCTATCCGATACAGGTCTTCTTCGACGAGAACCCTGCATATGGGTTGATGCATCATCGCTCGTTATACTAACATGGGCGTGAACACATACGCAAAACCTGGTCCCGGGGGGGATTTTTTATATGTCCCCAGAATCAAACTCTACGCCAATGCTTCTTCCATGGGGGGTATTTTATTCTATTCTGAGATTTGGATACCCTTAGACAGTGCTTTTTCTACAGGCCCGGAGGTCTAGAGAACTTTAAGATATCTGTGTGTGGTGTGGTGGAGTCAATTAACAAGGGATTGACAGTTGTAGGGCGTGTGGGTGATGAGGCAGATATGGGATTTTTGATGACATGGCCAAGGTCAATCTTCTTTCCTGAACGAGTCTTCAATGGCTGTTGCTGGGTGGAGTATAGAATAAAAATGGCTATTTCTGCAAACATGCTATTGTATTGTCAGCTTCGGTCAGGGATGCTTGACTAGTTTGTGTCTATCCAATCAATGGCGAAGATGCTATTGATGAGTTCGGTTGTTGTGGTGAGATGAGATGGATATCTTTGATGTTATGGTGTCGCATACTTGCCGTGGCTGTTAATGGGGGTGTTGAAATGGGAGAAGACAGGGTGTGACTTTATGATCAGACTGTTGATTTGGTGTGTATACTATACATGAAGATCTAGTCATTCTTCTGGCTGCTTTGAACGATAGCCAGTTGTATGATGCTATTCAAATACAGAGTTAAACCAAAATAACCATTTAATTCATTCAACTATCTAAGCACTAAGCGCGGCCTGCGCAGTCCCCTCAATCTCCTGCACCTTCGCCTCCTCCTTAACATGCTCACCCTCAAAACTCTTCATAGGGTAAAATCCCCACTTCTCAAACATCGCCCTATCCTCATCCCACCCATTACAATCCGTCGTAAGCATCTTCTCACCCGTAAACACAGCATTAGCACCCGCCATAAAGCAAGCAACCTGCTGCTCCTCACTGAGAGAAATTCTCCCTGCCGCAAGTCTAACAATAGTAGCGGGCATAACCACTCTGGCAGTGGCCACCGTCCTCAGAATCTTGTCAAACGAAATCATCTTCCTCTCTCCCAGGGGAGTCCCCGGAATCGGCACCAGAGCATTAACCGGGAAACTCTCAGGATGCTTCTCCAACCCAGACATGGTATAAATCAACCCCACGCGATCCTCATCCTTCTCACCCAGACCCAAAATACCCCCAGAGCAGACATTAATCCCCGCATCCCGCACATTCGCCAAGGTCTTCAACCGCTCATCATACGACCTCGTCGTGATAATCTCGGGGTAAAACTCCCTCGACGTATCCAAGTTATGGTTATACGCCGTCAACCCAGCATCTTTCAGTTCCTTGGCCTGCGCTTCATCAATCATTCCCAGCGTCACGCACACTTCCATCCCCATGCCCCGCACCCCGGACACCATGGCTTTGATGTTCTTCAGACTGGTCTTGCGGCCGCGCATGTCACGCCAGGCGGCGCCCATGCAGAACCGTGTGCTGCCGTTGGCTTTGGCGGTGCGGGCGGCTGTGAGGACTTCGTCGACAGGGGACATCTTGGTGGCTTTTAGACCGGTTTGGTACCGCGAGGATTGTGCGCAGTAGGAGCAGTCTTCACTGCAGCCGCCGGTTTTGATGTTCATTAGCGTGCACATTTGGATGGCGCTGGGGTCGTGGAAGCGGCGGTGGACGGCTGCCTATAGTCATTGGGGCATTGTTAATGAGGGTTCTACTTCGGTGGGGTTTGGCGAGGATTAGCTGGCTCTGGGGGAGCGTACAGCGGCATAAGTAAGCTGGTTCAAAGGCGTCTCATAGATCTGTTGAATCTCTTCACGGGTCCAGTTGGTGCGTGGTGCGGTGGCGGCAGTGGCTTCACGCAGAGCAGTTGGGATACGGCTGGCAATGGCGGCGGCACTGGGGGAGGTGGATTGCACGGTGCCGTAGTTACGGCGGAGGAGGACCCCGGGAAGGGTACGGAGAGACATTGTGTGATGCTGTTGTGTTGTGTGTAGATGGGTAGATGGGTAGATGGGTATGTAGTATATGGAGTGGTGGTAAGATGAAGAGGATACTGGGGAAGAAAAGAGGGGAGATGATTGTTGACAGTGAGTGAGTGAGTGACTGTTCCAGGCTACACACTATTAATTAACTACTACGGAGTAATTACTAGACCACACTCTCTCCATACTGCTAACTAGCTTAACACCTCGGGCGAAAAGAGGGGCAGCACCTATTACTACTAACTATCATCTCACAACAACCGGATTAACATTTAGTGTCAGACAGATAGTTGGCCAGCCAGTCAGCGCCGATCGAATGGAATTAAGCATGAGTGAGTAAGTGTTGCGGGTGGGCGGCAGCCCTTGTTGACCCCAACCGGGTGTGGTCAACCACAACATATGGACCCTAGTAATAGACCAAATTGATGATTTAATTCAGAGGAGATAGTGGTGTTGATTGACTTTGTCTCCGGTGAGATGATTTGGCTAAATTGATGGATCAACTTTCAGATCCCAGATAAAATCAGGCATAGGAGAATTAATGGCTGCTCGGAGGGAACTGGCTTGGGGGTTGGCTTGGCTGCATGTGCTTGCTTTGCTGGGGGAAGCAATCCCACACGGTCAGAGTCAACTTCCCTCAATCCCTCCAGAGTCAAGAAGAATGGGGTTATGACGATGGAAAGATCCACTTGTTACGGACCAAAGGAGCTCCGCTGCAGCAACCCGGATCACATTGCCGCTGATTGGTTGTTGAGTCTCAAACAGTCTGGCTCTGTTCGGGCCGTCGGTGAGGATGCAATTGTTAAGCAAAAACGAGGATCGGAATCACAAGGGGGGGAAACAAAACTTAATTCCTTCTATGCCAATCACAATGTCATTGTTTGTCCGTTATGTTATGTCTATCCCTATACTATACTAGTTTAATACTATACGTAGTTTGTCGTTCGTTACCTATGGTGTATTGTGTCGTATACACTGTATAGATCTGATCGGAAGAATCTTCTTCACTCCACCAACAACGCCGCCCGCAGCACTTCCTCAATCTCCCGCAATGCTTCCGGGGTTGACGTGACACTGGCCATCAGGTACAGCACATTGCCCAGCACGCGTGAATGCACTGCAAAATGCTCCCCACCCGCTGCCAGCCGCTGCTGCAGTCCTTGGGCCGCCGTCGACGTGTATCCTGCAGCAGAAATTGTGCCCTCCGGTTAGCGGCTATTCTCGGCCAATAAACACGGAAAAAAAGTTAATCGACAGGATGGAAATCTAACTCACCTCCGCCCTGAGTATCCTTCAGGGCAATACTCAAAACCGTTCCCAGGGCAAATAACCCCTCCACAGCCGGCGCTTGGGACAGCTGCCCTACCAACCCATGCGACCAGACGCTCCAGACCTCCGGTCGCGCCCGGGGCGCAGAGGGGAGTGCCGCCGGCTGCCAATCCCGCCGGTACTTGTCCCATGCCCCACTGCGTTCCAGCTGCTTCATCGTTCGCAATGAGTCCACCGCGACTTGGCAACCAACCGCGTGCGCCGTGTAGCTGTGCCCGTGCAGCAGTGCATCGCTCTTGTGCGGACTCGAGAACGCCTGGAACACCTCGTTGCTCGCCAGCGTCGTGCACAGCGGTACCAGCCCGCCTGTGAGCAGCTTCGCGTTGACCGCGATGTCGGCATCCACCCCAAGAAAAGAGGCCGACGATCGCTGTCCCAGCCGGTACAGCCCGGTGAACACCTCGTCGAAGATGATTGGGAGTCCTGACCACGACGATCCCGCCGCCGCGCCTGCAGTGGCGCCAGGGGCAAAGAGCTCCGGGTGACCGCGCACCACTTCAGCCAGGCACCGCTGGAAGAGGGGGTCACTAGTGATTGGTCAGTATGCGGCGTGTATACTACCTATCTTGTTGTCAACAGGATGGAAAAAACTCACCAGAATAGCATACCTCCCGCTCCTAAGATCACCGGCTCCATGATCAGCGAGCCAAATTTCATTCCCTGCTGCTGCACCAGCTCTGCGATCGTCTCCCGGATGTACTCTTGGTAGCGCTGTCCAACCTCCGAGGCGACCCGCGTCTCCAGATCGAACACCGCATCCAACGACGAGTACTCGAGGTCAGGCCCCAAGGCCGACCGCAGATTCTCGGGGATTTGTACCTTCCACACTCCCTGTGACATCTGCACCTGGGGGTAATCGAACCAGTAGCCCCGACCCCGGTACCACTCCACCTTCTTGTTGTATGTAGAAGGTTCCGAGCAGTCCATCACTCCGATCGTATCACCGTGGTAGCTGCCCTTGAGGCCGAGGATACTAATCTGCTCTTGGCTGGCATCCCAGCCGTACCGGTCACATGCCGCCCGAAGACCCATCTTAATAGCCACCTCCATGCCCGTGCTGCCATTGTCGCTGTAAAAGACCTTCTGCAGACGCGGGTTCCCCACCGTCTGCAGTAGCGTCTCCGCCAGAGTCAGTGCAGGCTCGTGGATATTCCCGGGGAACATGACATGACCGTAGCGACCTGCAGCGTACGCCGCCGACAGGGCCAGATCGGGGTTTCCGTGCCCGAGACCTTGCGTCCACCACGAGGCGGAGCCATCGAACGTTGCCCGCAGTCCACCCTCCTGCGAGGGCTCCGCGGGCTTATAAGTCTGGAAGAAATCATCGTACGCCGAATCAATTACCGTAATATCCTTCGGCGCCATCCCGTGGTGCTGCGTGAACGGATACCAAATCGTCTCGTGAGCCCGACCAGACATGGCCTCCAGGCGCTCAATTCGCGCCTCATTCTTCGCTGTCATTTCCTCCAACAACCCAGCTACATCGGTACCCCGCGCCACACGCTCGTAGTACCCAGCCATGGCCTCCTCATCGCGGGCCTCGGCATCCGCATCCCGCGATGCCGGGCGCGCCGGGGGCTGTGGCAGCGGCACCAGGGGGATACTCTTTTTCTGGAAATAGGTGCGCAGATACTCATGATTCTGGTAGTAATCATCCTGAAACAGCAACACAGAATTCACATCATACCCGCGCAATAACAATGACTCATACGCCGAGATGGAGGACGAGATGCCGCCGAGGCGGGAGTCCGCAATCAGAACAATTGGCAGCCGTAAAGACCGATACAAATCGGCCTGGGAATTGCCATTGGGGCCCGGCGAGTGCACGCCGCCTGCTGTTTCAACAAGGGCAAAATCAATGCCCTTTGCTGCCCAGTCGGAGAGGGTCTGATGGACGGAGGTGATGATATCATCATCCCGCGGAATCTGTGCTATTGTCAGCTCACTCATCCATTTGCTCGGCTGTTGGCGCATTGCACCAATACAGAGTCAGATGAATTGGGAATCGCACCGTCAGTTGCTTCTGCTTCGCCGCAATGTGTGGGCTGACGGGCTCGTCGAATTGGTACAGACACTTGGTCAGCGTGCCCGGGGCGTAGCGCCGGATGTGTCTGGGCTAGTAGTGAGCGGGGTGAAACTTGGGGCTGGGGGCCTTGATTTATGGTCTTACCGATCATCCGCATCATCTAAGGGACCGGTTGATACGGGTTTCAAGAACGCCGCGGGCGATTGAGAGTTGAGGCGCTGGATGGCATTGCAGAGAACGGTGGATACAATGGTCTTGCCGACGTCGGTGTTGGCACCGTAGACCTGGTGGGCGCGCAGGGAACGCCAAAGGGCGGCACCGACGGGGGGCATGGGAGGCAGCCAGGGGAGGAATTAGAGAATAGGAGAATATAAGAATATATATATGAAGAAGTAAGAAGTAAGGGGAAATGGGAGATTAAAGGAATTGGTACTTTATTATGTACCAAGTATATGGCTATCAAGAAAGTCACTCTCACTCTTTTACTCAGATAAGGCGGATTGACAGCGGGATATGCAACCTGCAAGGCGGAAAATAGCCGAGGCAATCAATGAGGCACTCAGGCAGCGGGCCACTATTCCTTAGGCATCCAGCCTCAGAGGTTAAAATAATTAACATAATAACATAATAAAACTGGGCAGTACTTTAGTTAGTACGTAGCAGTCAACTAATCTTCCAACTAACTAACTGGTTAGTTAGGTTAGTTTACCCTCCCCACCGGTTGAATCCTTGATCTCCCAAGTCCCAACAGTAGTCTAGTCAACCCACAACATCCGCCGAACGGGTTCAATTTCTGTTATGTTATGTGATTTCAATGCCGCATCTGCTTGTCCTTCTCCGTCCCGAGGTATCCATCCATTTCCCACCTTTTTTTTTTCTTGTCTCTCCTGGTTCACTCCGAAAGCCCCATAACGCTAGAGAGCCACCAGAAAACCAATGGAAAATCTGGCAGCTCAGGCAACCAGCCCATCTGTTGTGATTACGGAGATTACCTATGTATCCCGATGGCTGGGCTAAGGCCAATTCCACCGGTAACTAGTCTAACTACTACTAATCCAGTTGAACTCCGTCAGGCACACGCCCTGCTGGATGGATGGATCCACCCGGTAATCAGTTGGCAGTTGGTGTGAAAATCCCCTGTCTCTCCACGCCTTTCCGGTATGATGGGAAACTAAATTGATTAGTCTAGTTCTGTTTGGTAAGGAGAACGGCGGAGATCTGGCCGGATTTCACATTCATTCTATCTATCTGTATATCTAGCTATCTAGTGTCACAATTTCCCCCGGAGATAGTGTTGATACTATGTTTGATATTCGATTTCACTCTCAATTTCTCCTCTCATTCAATTCAATTCCTCTCTCTTTTACTCTTCTTCCTCTTCTCTAAACAGCAATTACTATACCCAACTGATCTCCCTCCCTCACCCTCCCCTCACATACACATACACATACACACACAATGCCCCCCTCCACCACCAAACCCTCACCCTCACCCTCACCCACACCCACCCTCCTCACCTCCCTCCGCACAGCCCTCCAACACCGCAAATCCAAGAACTCCCTCCGCCGCCTAACCCTCATCCCTCCCACCTCCACGGACTTCTCCTCGAACGACTTCCTCTCCCTAAGCACCTCCCCCCTCTTCCGTGCCCGCTACACCACCCACCTCTCCAGCGCGCCCCCCTTCTACCCCTTCGCCTCAGGCGGCTCCCGCCTCCTAACCGGCAACTCGCCTTACGCCGAAGCCCTAGAGACCTTCATCGCGAGCTTCCACAACGCGCCGAGCGGTCTCCTCTTCAACTCGGGCTTCGACGCAAACGTAGGCGTGCTCTCCTGCATCCCGCAACCAGGCGATGTCATCATCCACGATGAGTACATCCATGCGAGTGCGCACGAGGGGATGAGATTATCCCGCGCGGGGAGGAAAATTCCCTTTGCGCATAGTTGTCCCCAGTCCCTGGAAGATGTGTTAAGAAGGGAAGTTGAAAACGACGAGAAATTGAAGAGTGGGGAACGGAACGTCTTCATCGTCATCGAGAGTATATATAGTATGGATGGGGATATCGCGCCCATAAGGGAGTTCGTGGAGGTGGTGGAGAGGGTGATGAAGGGTAAGGGAAATGCCAATGCGTATTTTATCGTTGATGAGGCGCATGCTACCGGAGCTTTTGGACCGAGGGGTGCGGGCGTGGTGCAGGAGTTGGGGGTGGAGGAGAAGATGTTTATTAGGGTGCATACATTTGGGAAGGCGTTGGGGAGTCATGGTGGTTAGTAGTAGTTTATCCATTCCTGTTTGGTGTTGGGGTGTGGGTATATACTGACTGACTGACCTGAATTGGATAGCGATTGTGCTCTGCTGCCCTGACACACGCGAATACCTCATCAACTACGCCCGCAGTCTCATCTACACTACCGCATTGGGGTTCCCGTTCCTGGCGTCGATTCGGACGGCGTATGAGATGTTGGCGGAGGGGGAGACGGAGGAGGTATGTTACTACTATCCCTAATACTTACTTTCATTTGAGTGGAGTGTATAGCTGACTAGCTAAATCGTACCAGTTACAACGCAATCTGCAACACCTCATTGAATACCTAGGCAATCGTCTAGATGCCCTCGGGTCCTGGGACCCAGATGTCTTCGAAGTGGACCATTTCCCGCGCTCGCCTATCTTCTCGCTGCGCAGTCCGGTGCCGCGCCAGTTGGCGGCTGCATGTCAGCGGAAAGGGTTCATGGTGCATCCGATTATGTCGCCGACTGTGCCCAAGGGGAAGGAAAGGGTGAGGGTGTGTTTGCATGCGGGGAATACGGTCGAGGAGATTGATGGTTTGGTGGAGACGATTTTGGCGTGGTTGAATGGAAGGGAGAGTGAGAAGAGGGTGGCGAGGCTTTAGTTCACTTGGCTTATCTTTTGAAATATATCGGGGGAGATGGGGGTAAAGTATTGGGCTGTACATATTATTAGCTGCATATAGGAAATATTTGATCATATCATATCAAGTTATGCTGTAATCCGAGTCCTGTAACTCCGTGGCCATATTCCTATTCCTCCCTCCCTTCCAGTGTAAACTCCATGTAAGCCATGAGAAGCGTAGTTCCGTGGATATCCTGCCAGTTACAAAGAAATAAACTCCCGTTATGCATTCTATTCCTCCTTCGAGTTCCCTGATAGCCCATCACCTAGTGAATCCAGTAGTTGCGGCAGGTCGGGCAGGTCGGCTCCAGGGTGTCAAAGGTGTCGAGCCACTGCTCCAAGCATGCCCGGTGGTAGTTGGTTCCGCAGAATCCCCGGCACCAGACCAGCAAGCTGTGATCGTAGTCCGGACCGGCAAGCTCTTCGTCTACATTCACTGTACGTTAGCACTGTTCAATCATCAAGTTAATGAAGTCAGGAATCTTACCGTCCATCTCCTCCCAGTCATCATCCTCATCGTCTTCGGTTCTCTCATCGTCGGACATGTCGCAGCGCATGCTCTCATCCAGATAGGGGAGAAGACAGATTCCACAGTCGCCATCCACAGGGCGCGGCTTGACCCGTTGAGGCTTCGGAGACGTAGGGGAGTCGCAGTACATAGACACAGTGCTTTCTCCAGACGGAATCGGTCTCGGGGCTGTTTGATGGGCGGGATGGGTATGACCCGAAGCGATCAAGGTGCTGCTGACGAGTTGGACCGCCGGGGTGTGGGGACGGTGATGGAACGCAGAATTGGCGTGCGGAAGAGGCGAAGCACTGCCGGAAGCTGAAGCTGACATAGTGGTAGCAGCGGGATCACCAGCAGGACGGACGATCTCGACTCGGGGTCTTGAGTTCTGCGGGTGATGATGATTCGCACCCATCCCGACCATGCCATGCTGGATGGTGATTCGGCTCGATGAGCTGGGCCCATGATGGCTGGTCGTCAGGTTAGTGACTGCAAGTCCACTACCCGTGGCCATGATGGTGGGGTTGGGCGGCATGTGAAGGTAGCTGTTCGACATGGCTGCGGTGGATTCAGCAGATCGCTCAGCCAGATACCGCTGCAGTCTCGCCTCCCACTGGTCGACCAGGGTCAAGAATTGGTATCGGTGCTGGTTGGGGCAGAGTAAAAGACTGGCAAGGTCGATGAGAATTGGATCAACAGCGGATATGGAAGAGGTAGCTGCGAAGATGTGGGTGCCTCGTTCGATTAGAGTGTACGCTTCGTCACGCTTCTGATAGCTGATCAAATTGTTGCACCGGCGATTGTAGGAGTGCGAGACACCGACACAGTGGTGATCAGCTGCAGGGTTAATTTTCAGAATGTCAGCCAACTGATAACGAGAGGCAGACGTCATGACGACGGCGGGGTGATTAGTCGCTGACGGGGTGCTTAGTCGGTGAGGGGGAAGAGGAGACGAGGGGAGAGAATAACGGTGCAGACGGTGCAGACGAGGTTCACGAGTAGCACCGAGAGAAGCGAGAATAGTGAATGGCAGTGAATGAAGGGGGACGTGAAGAAAGCGCCACGACAGCAGAGGGGCACCCATGTGGTCTGGGTCATCATTTCTCGTACCTGATTGCTAACTATGCGGAACTAAGCTTCAAGGCCCGATGAAAATGCAGGCGAACAGCACCAGGCACCAAATTCGGGATGGACTTCGGAAAGTGGATGTTGAAAGATGACGATGAGGAGGAGAAAGGCGCAGATGAAAAGGAAGATGGGATGGTAGGGATGGATGGACTCATGCTTATGCCATAATGGCTTCAGCGCAACAAAAAGCGGAAGACTCCGAGACTCCCTCGGCGCGTGATCGAGGGGTTTGGCTGAAGGGATGCAATCCCGGTTAGATGGTTGGTTGGATAGTTCAGTTGGATTGATAACACTCTTTCTTGCTTGTCGGGATAAATGCTTTTATCTGCCTTTTTATCATCTGCTGTCTCCCCCTCCTTCCTTTCTCCTCTTTCCTTCCCCGCACGTGGTCCAGATCACATTGTCAACTTTCCATCTGCCCATCACCACCACTCATATTCCATCTCCCACCTCCCCCTCCATGGATACTTCCCGAGACGTCCCAGACATTCTTATCGTGGGTGCTGGCATCTTCGGGGTCGGCACAGCCTACCATCTCGCTCAACAGCTCGAGCGACCGTCACAGATCGTCCTGTTAGATCGCGCCGCCCCGCCATCCACCCCCGCGGCATCTACCGATATCAACAAGATCATTCGTGCCGACTACACCAACCCTCTCTACGTCGCTTTGGGGTTCGAAGCTATTGAACAGTGGAAGTCACTGCCGTTCTTCCAAGAAGCACAAGTCTACCACCCCTCGGGATGGATCGCCTTGGAGGAGAAAGATAGCGATGTCCCCGCATTGATAAGGAAGAACTTCCGCGATTATGGTCGCGGCGACGTCATCGAGGAATGGTCCGAAGAGAAAGTCCGTCACGCATGGGGTGGGCTACTCGAGAAGACAGACTGCTCCCCATTTGGCTCATATTACTATAATTCTTCTGCTGGCTGGGCGGACGCAGGAAAAGCATTGCAGCTGATGGCACAAGAAGCGATCAAGCTGGGTGTCCGGTATGAGGTCGGAGAGGCGCGCAGAATCGTTCATGACGAAAAGGGAGTCAGTGGTGTTAAGACGGCAGACGGTACCATCTACCACGCTCGAAAGGTCTTGTTGGCCACTGGGGCATGGACAAGTCAGCTCATGTCCTCCGTGGAGGATGATTTGGACCTGCCGGGACCAGACCGAGTAGAGCAGCAGGTATCAGCAGCGGGAGTAACAGTCTCGCACTTCCAACTCTCGTCGGAGGAAAAATCCCGCTACTCGCAGCTGCCGGTGTTTGTCTACGGAGGAGAAGGTGGGTTCTATCCTGGCCCGGCGTGGACAAGCTGACGCATCCAGGCGAGGTCATCCCTCCCACTGCAGAAGGAATCCTCAAGTTCACCACCGCCGCTTCGTTCAGGAACACCATCCGCACTGCGTCGGGACATGAAATCTCGGTGCCGCTGGTAGATCAAACTCATGTGCCTGAAGCATTGCAGGAAGATCACCTGCGCGCTATTCGACCTCGTTTGCCACAGTTTCTTGAGGACCATCCCCGTCCCGACTACTGGCGCATATGCTGGGATGCAATTTCGCCCAGCCAGCATCCGCTAATTACCCGCCATCCAGACGACCGACTGTCCAACCTCTATTTCGCAGTAGGGGGATCATTCCACTGCTACAAGTTCCTCCCGACCATTGGCAAATACGTGGTCAATGTGTTGCACGGGGTGTCGAATGGACGCGAAAAAGACGAGGCTTGGACGTGGAAAGAGCATCATCCGGATGAAAGAGGAGTGCATGCGCGATTGGTCCCGCAGAGAGAGGTTCGAGATGTTGCTTAGAACATACATAGATGCAGCCTGGTGTTTGCTCAAATCAAAACCAGCGGCTCAGGCTTCCACAACCGGACGCGCTTTAACCAGGAGAAACAACTCTTCACCGAGAAAAGTATATATCACACTGCATCATCCCCCTTGCGTGCATTGCAACGACCAAAAAGGAAGTCCTCTGATGATTTGTCACCACTGTCTCCTCCGATCTACGCCCCACCTAGCCACAAGATAATGCACAATGCCATGGTAGCCAGCTAGACAGCTAGACATCTAGGAACAGCATCACACGTGTTAAATAGGAGATAGAACAAAGTAACCGATCCGTTGGGGCAAAACACTGGGTCATTGCGTGACCTGGTGGGAACGGCAACGTTGAACCTCCAGAATTATGGATCCTGAAGAAGCTTCGCGACCCACTCTGTTCCAAACATCTCCAACTCCCCCCCAAAAAAGCAATCTGAAGCCAGCTGTTTGACCCGAGGTTGAGAACAAGAGGGAGGAGGAACTGGCCGCACCCCCGCCGCTTGAGCCCTTGGGACAACCGTGATTTGCTCCGCAGCGCCTCCTGCATAATATCCAAATGCGGAGAGAGACACATATAGCCTGGACCGAGGATGTCGTCGGCAATGAAATCTATCTACTCCATGTCTTCCCCTCATATCCTTACAATTAATCTAGCTCCATAGCATTCAGTTCTTCGTCTCACTGCATTTTTAGCGACATACTTCAAGTTGGCAACCGGCCTGACCATGGCGTTAGGTGATCACCCCTTACACCCTTGACATATAGACTATGTACGTCATGTAGCACAGCACTAACATCAGTGGCATCACCGCGCAGCAACATCAACAGGAGCCGCAGCCATCGCTCTAGCTGCGTATCTAGATGCCAAATTCCACCTCACCAACGATGCATCCAGCATGCTGGCTCAGCGGCGCTCCCTCCGCGACACAGCGAAAGCCGCCGCACAAGGCCAACTGAGCATGTGGCCCGTCTTCGCCGCCACGGCATCGCAGTACCCCGACATGATCTGTATTTGGACACGCGAACAGTCCTACACATACCGGGAAGCCCTAGCCGCCGCAGCCCGATACGGCCATTTCTACCTGTCCAAGGGGGTACAAAAGGGCGACCTGGTGGCATTCTACCTGCAGAACCGGGCGGAATTCATGTTCGCCTGGTTAGGGCTCTTGAGCATCGGATGTGCTCCGGCAACCATCAACTACAACCTGACTGGCGATGCGCTGATGCATTGCCTATCCATCAGCGGCGCCAAGCTGCTGCTGGTTGACCCGGAGGCTGAATGTATGGCTCGCATCGAGGAGCGAAGGTCGACGATTGAGAATGAGCTGGGCATGCAACTCGTCACTGTTGCCGACGCCTTCAGTAATCATTTGCTTTCGTTCCCGGCCTCTGTGCCGATGGATGGCCAGTTGGCCTCCCACGTCCCTGGCGAATTTCCTGCCATCCTCCTCTACACCTCCGGCACGACCGGCCTGCCCAAAGGCTGCGCCTTCACCACCTCCCGGCTCTATGCCACCCAGACCATTCGCAACAGTAACATAACCAACGTGTCCGGCCCCGGCGGGGACAGGTGGTACAGCGCGATGCCGTTGTACCACGGTACATCAGCGATCGCCATGATCAATAACATAGTTGGCGGACGAAGCATCGCCATCGCGCCGCGATTCAGTGTGCGCAATTTCTGGCCCGATGTCCGGGCCTCTCAGGCGACGGTCTTCGTGTATGTCGGTGAAGTAGTCCGGTATCTACTGGCCGCACCGCCATCCCCCCAAGACCGGGAGCACGGGGTGCGCATGATGTACGGGAACGGCCTGCGGCCGGACGTGTGGGAGCGGTTCCGGGAGCGGTTCGGGGTGCCGGAGGTCGGGGAGTTCTTCAACAGCACGGAGGGGATCTTCGGGCTGTTTAATCTCAATCGCGGGCCGTTCACGGCGGGGTCTGTCGGGCATCATGGGTTGTTATTGCGGACAAGTTTGAGAAATACATATGTTCCTGTCGTGGTGGATGCAGAGACGGGGGATGCGGTGCGTGATGAGAAGACAGGGCTGGTGAAGCGGGCGGCGTATGATGAGGGCGGGGAGATACTGGTCAAGGTGCCGGATGAGAAGGCGTTTCAGGGGTATTGGAGGAATGAAGCGGCGACGAAGAAGAAGTTCATGCGAGATGTGCTGACGAAAGGGGATTTGTGGTATCGGTCTGGAGATGCGTTGAGGAGGGATGGTGATGGGAGGTGGTATTTCCTCGATCGGCTGGGGGATACGTTCCGGTGGAAGAGTGAGAATGTGTATGTCTATTCTTACTACCCCTTGCTTTGTGCGTATTTGTCATTGTGGTTCGTGTTGGCTAATTGTTGATTATGCAGGTCCACGGCAGAAGTGGCCCAAGTACTGGGCCGGTATCCTGGCATCCAGGAAGCCAATGTGTATGGAGTGAAAGTGCCTCATCATGAAGGCCGCGCAGGATGTGCGGCCTTATTGCTCAGTCCTGAGGCCCGCAGCGGGTTTGACGGGCAGGGACTGGCCCGGTTCGCGCGTGCACAGCTGCCGCGGTATGCGGTGCCGGTCTTCTTGCGCGTCGTGGAACAGTCATGGCATATTCATAACCATAAGCAGAACAAGGGGCCGCTGCGCCAGGAGGGCGTGGAGCCTGGCAAGTTGGGGTCGAAGGTGGTGCAGGGCCACCGCGACCGGCTGTTTTGGTTGCCTCCGGGGTCGGAGGGCTACATAGAGTTTGGTGAGAAAGATTGGCAGCGTCTCGCGGGGGGTGAGGCGAAGTTGTAAATAGTAGGCAGAAGTGTATATATGATGATTCATGACCATGCTCATCTATTCAAGCCATTTTGGAGGTCTTATTCATGTTTTGGTACGATCGCGATCGGGGAACTGACTCGTGCAGAAGACTGGTCAGATAGCAACCCTAAGTCAACCAACAGACGATACTAGAGATATCAACCAAGTACTCCCTACAACCAGAGTATTCCGTACTGTTCGCGACCATGGCAGCAGGAGACAGCGATCGCACCACGGGATGCCCAAAGCATCATCCCTTGCTGATCAGCACATCTTGCCCTGATTTGTCCGGAGGGAACGTCCGCCGGCCCACCCGTCAGTCACCGCTGGACCAGCGCCCGCTTCAGTTCTAGACTATCACTGACTAGGTAGTTATATTATCTGTCAGCATCAGGACTATTCCTTTCTCTTGACCGCTAGCGACCGCGACACGAGGCCCGCTAAGCATTGCATGGGATGATCGGATGCACGAGGAGAGGGGAACAGAAGATCAAGTAGAAAAAAAAACCACGCATGCGCTGTGGAGGAGCTTAAGCTGCAGGTCGGATGGATCCTGAATCAGGATGGCTTGGTTTGAGTCTGCAAACTAACTAGTCAACTGAATCTCTGGTGGCAAAGACTGATAAAACACCACGCGATAGTCAAGCCCTAAGCCTTTTCTGCCTGGTGGATGCCGATGGCTTCATCCATGAGAGACAGGCAGACAGACAGACAGACAGACCCTCTTGGAGTATCCGCTAAGTCACCTAGTGTGTATTCTTGTCTGCCTGTCTGATTGTCAACTCCACCCCAGTGCTCCACTTGCATGGCATCTGAAAACAACTTCCATCATGGAACATTCTCCGCAACTGCTGCTGCTCACTGCTCGGTAATTTCCCCTGGATTAGCGCGTCGGTCATTCTTCTTCGGTTCTTCCTGCCACGCGATGGCTGCCACTCCACCACAGGGCACGGCTCCTCTTATAAACCCGCTGGCATTCCTGTCATCCCAATCTCGGATTTCCTCCATCTGCACCTATCCGTCATGTTCTCGGGCCTTCTTCTGCTTCTAGCCAGCCTCGTGGCCCTGCTGTCGGCCGTAGGGAATGCAGCCGTGACCATTCAATCCAACACCACCTGCCGCTGCTTCCCGGGGGAGAAATGCTGGCCCTCACCAGCCGAATGGACTCAATTCAACGAATCCATCGACGGCCGACTAATCCAGACTATCCCTCTGGGCAAGCCCTGCCACACTCCCTCCTACCAAGCAGGGGTGTGCGACTACCTTCGCGAACAATGGACGGAGCCCGAAATCCAGTAAGCTTTTTTTGTCTTGGGTCAGGCTGACTCGCAGCCTCGTCCTCGCAAAAGCAAACACATCCGCTAACCGAGTCAAGCTATGAATCGTCCTCCTCCATCATGGCCCCCTGGTTCGCCAACGGCTCGTGCGATCCCTTCCACCCCATTGCCAAGCCCTGCACCCTGGGCAACTACATCGTCTATGCCGTGAACGTCAGTCAGCCCAGCCACATCTCGCGCGCTTTGGCTTTCGCAACTGCCCACAACCTCCGCGTCGTCATCCGCAACACCGGCCACGACTATAACGGCAAATCCACCGGCGCCGGCGCCCTCGGCATCTGGACCCATCACCTCAAGGACATCGATATCGTCGACCACCACGATTCCCACTACTCCGGTAAGGCCATCCGTCTGGGCGCCGGCGTCCAGGGCTATGAGGCCTGGGAGACGGCCGACACCCACGGCTACCAGGTCGTCAGCGGCGAATGTCCGACCGTCGGCATCGCGGGCGGCTACTCCCAAGGCGGCGGCCACTCGGCCCTATCCTCGCGCTACGGCCTCGCCGCGGACCAAGTCCTGAAATGGGAGGTCATTGACGGCACGGGGCGCTTGATCACCGCTACCCGCGACAACGAATACAAGGACCTGTATTGGGCCTTGAGTGGTGGCGGCGGCGGCACGTACGGCGTCGTTTGGTCCATGACCTCCAAGTTACATACTGGCACGCCTGTCTCCGGACTAAACCTCACGTTTACCAATACCAACATCTCCCAAGACACCTTCTACTCGGCAGTAGGCCTTTACCACTCCCTCCTCCCGGCTATTGTCGACGCCGGCGCAATGAGCATTTGGTACTTCACCAACACGACATTCTACATCGCGCCACTAACGGGGCCCAACATCCCCGTCCAGGAACTCATCTCCCTCCTCAAACCCTTCCGCGACGGGTTAGAGAAAATGGGCATCAGATACACCCTCTACGCAGAGCAATTCCCGACCTACCTAGCTCAATTCAACGGCATGATGCCCAACATCCCCGTCGGGGAAGCGCAATACGGCGGATGGCTGATCCCGCGATCAGTGGTGCACGAGAATAACACCGCGTTGACGGCCGCGTATCGCCAGATCACGGAGGACGGGGCGACATTTATCGGGGTGGGATTGAATGTGTCGAAGGCGTTAGTTGGGGATGTGGATAATGCGGTGTTGCCTGCTTGGCGGGATACGTTGATTGATACGACGCTTACGACGCCATGGCAGTGGGATGCGCGCCAGGATATGCTGGTGCAGCAGTATAAAATGACTTATGAGTATTTGCCGTTGTTGGAACGGTTGGCGCCAGATTCGGGGGCTTATATGAATGAGGTATTTCCCCCTGCTACTTTTACTTTCCACCTCTACTATTCGTTGTGAATGTGAGAAGAAGACTGACAGTAATGGATAGGGCGACTTCCGCCAACCTAATTTTCAGAAAGCATTCTACGGAGTTAATTATCCCCGCCTACGACAGATCAAGAAGAAATATGACCCGCTCGATGTGTTTTATGCCCAAACGGCTGTGGGTTCGGATGACTGGACGATGTATCCTGATGGGAGGTTATGTCGGGTTTCAATTTCTGATGATGATACGGATGGTTGGGAGTATTTCTAACTGCATTTGTCATTCATAATCCTTTTTTTAATATTTTATGATGTTTATTCATTTTACTTTGTTTGGGCATATTGTCATAAGTACATACATACTTAGTTAGATTTCATACACGTCTTCCTCATGAGTGGCTGGGTAACTTGCCCGTGCACATACTTACCCACTACTTATAAAGTAAGTAAGTACTCGGGGACCTACCTAATCTTATTTTATCTTACTTACTCTATTAACTCTGAGAGGGTTAGTAGGTGGCTGCCAGGTTTGCGGACTTGATCGGGTCGGGTGTCGGATTGTCGGGTATTTTACTTTTTTCTGTATGCTGTGGTCCGTCCGGAGGAGTCTGCTGGTGGTGGGAATGAGATGTGCATGCACGGATGGGGAGGAGATTGGTGGTGATGCTGCGGGAATAAACAATAGTGCTATAATAGTGTGGGTTATAGCTATGGTGTCCTGGTTAGTGAAAAAATGAGATACTGTTGCGCCTCACTTGTGCAGGAAGGAGTAGCAGAAGAAAAGAAAGAAATGACAATAATTGGCATAACAATTATTGTTGGATCGAATCATCATGGCTGAATAAATTGTTTTGAGGGATGATGGTGATGCTATGTACAAAGTACGAAGAAAGTTGAAGAGGAGAAAGTCGGTTACGTCCATATCCACATGAACAGAACATGAACATGAACATGAACATGCATGCATGCTCAGGTCCCCGACACACACACATAACCGCCCAAGGCAGATAGATAGATGGATGGATGCCATGGTTCCTCCGGTGTTGGATGAGGATCGACACTCCCCCAACTAAAATTGATGTCCACTAGACAAGGGCCTCCCCTGCTAGTTTGCTTCCTACTTTTTACTACCGGCTACACCGACTAATTCCTAACTTACACACAGAGAGAAACCCGAAAGTCTTGCTAGTTAGTTACCCAAAGCTCACACTGAACTCTTTTCCGGCGAGTTTGATTCGTGCTCTTTATCCCCGACGCGATCGGGATATGAAATCACCAAAGATGCGGTACCGTGGATGATAGCTTTTGAAGGTTTAAACCTTTAAACCTTGTTTGTTTGTTATTTTGTTATAATGGATTATGAATATGGATGTTGTGGTGATAGCATGGGATTATTCGGTGAGATGAGATATGAACTAATCAACTGTAATAATACCCTTGTCCTTGTTTTTCTTTCTTTCTGTGCACATTGCTTTTGTTCTCTACACTAGTTTTACTTAGCTGTCTGTCTCCTTGGTGGTGAACATGATCCGTGCCCTAATTAGTCTGCATAAAGTGGAACCGCGCATTGACCGAGACTTGACCTTTCCCACCTATCATTATTCCCCCCTTCCTCGTGCACCTCCTCCATGCAGGCACATGCGTATCTCATCACGAGCCAGCGTCAGGCTCTAGCATTATGCAGAAAAAAAAAAGAACTGAAAAATAGTACTAAACTCTCATTAGCCTCTGCACACGAACCAGACCTCCACTCCCGGCTGTGTCCTGTTCTGTTCTGGTCCGGGTGCGGCCGTAGACCGTAGATTGAGTTCAGATCAGGTCTGGGTCGACACATCATCCATCAAAAATTCCTAATTCCTTATTTGCATTATTTCAAGGAGATTGGAAGTAAGTTAGGTAGGTTAGGTAGGGTAGTGACATAGCGGTAAACACTTTTCTTCTTACCTATCCTCTTTTTCTTTTTCATTTTTTTTCCCTTCTTTCTTTTATGCAGGGGGGAAGAGAGGCGAGAATGTACTTCTTGCATTTGCGTATTCATCATATATTAACAAACCCCATCGCTCAGCTCCGCCCCCTCGATTTTTGAAGCTGGATTCTTTGGGTTGTTCTTAGATAAATAATTGATGATTGACTTCAACATGCCGAAATGGGCTGGGTCTACAATCTGACCGTCCCTGATCCCCACAGTCAAGTCTCTCGCGTCATTGCCATCTGTCTCGTTTTCTCGATTACGGCTTGTTTGGCGGTCTTCTTGAGATTGTATATTCGCATTCATACGAAGAGGTCCGCCTGGTTGGATGATTTCGCGGCGCTATGGAGTGCCTTGCTGGCGATGACGTATGCTGGGATTGCTGTTGCGCGTGAGACATCCCTTTCTTCTCTTCACCATGTTGATATATTACATATACTGATATAGTCTGTGCTAGAAACAAGATGGGGTCTAGGTCTAGATGCGAAATACTTCCCTGATCAAAATGTGGTCATGTTCAGCAAGGTACATACAGCCCCATCCTAACTTACATCAACCTGAATAAATGACTAATGATGTTTGTAGATCCAATACGCCGGTGGCCCCGTCTACACGCTTGCATTACTCGGATTCAAAGTCTCCCTGCTGTCATCGTACCTGCGCATCGGGGGCTTCGTGCAGGCGTATCGCGTGACGATCATCGTGGCTATTGTGGCGGTGACGTGCAATCAGTTGGTGTTTACTTTCTTGCTGTTGTTTGCTTGTAATCCGGTATGTCTCCCTCTTCATCATTCGATGGTACATACTGATAAGGTATATGTAGGTTGCTCGTCAATGGGATACCAGTCTCCCTGGATCATGCATAGATACAGTAGCGTCTTATTATGGTATTCCTACCCCATATACCTGATTTATACATATTATACTAACGATGAACCAGCTCTCGCAGGTAACCACCACCACCACTCCCTCCACCCACTACATACACCAGAAAAAAAACTAAGTAAAACAGGAACCAGTCTCGGCTTCGACATAATCATAATCGCCCTGCCCCTCCCCGTCCTACTCACTCTCCAATTGCGTTTTCGCCAGAAGGTACATCCCCTCCCTGCCCCCTACCCCTACTCCCATAAACCCCAGAAAACCCATTCTAACAATATATGTATAGATAGCCCTCGTCGGCGTCTTCGCCCTCGGCTTCTTCATAACAATAATCCAAATTATCCGGATTTTCACAATCAAGAACCTAAAGACCTACACAGATAGCCAACCCATCGTCATCTGGTCGGATGTGGAAATCAGTTTGGGCGTATGTCCCCATCCAATTCCCCCCCCCCCCCCCCCCTTTCTTACCTTAACCCCTTCTTAGGACAATCCATACTGATGTTGATTGATAATGGTAAAAGGTAATAATAACCTGCATCCCAACCTACGGCCCGTTCTTCCACGCCTTCGCGTCCACCCTATCGTCCAGCTACAACAACAACCGCACACATACCACCAATAACACGTACAATAACCCACATAATACCTACGCTACGCTGACGTATATGACGTCGCCGACGACAACGACGAGTACGTCGTATCCGCTACGCAAGATGCAGACACGGAATACCACTGCTAGTTCGATAGTCACCAACAATGGGGGGCGGAAGAAGAGTCGTGATCTGGTAGATGCGAGTTTGGATGAGGTCGCGCGGGGCTTGGGCATGGGTGGTTTGGAGTTAGGGCTGGAGAGTGGGATGTTGTTTGGGACGAGTGGGAGTGAGGAGGGGGGGTCGGTGAGGAGTAGGAGTCGCAGTCGGAGTCGCAGTCGGAGTAGTTGTGGTGGTGGTGGTGGTGGGAGAGGGAGGAGTTGTAGTCCGAGTGGTGGGTATGGAGGCGTGTGGGATGGGAGTGGGGTGGCGCCGACGACGACGACGATTTGTAGTTTGCCGGCTGTGGCGAGGGTGAGGGAGGGAGGGTTTGGAAATGGTGGTTGTGTTGATGAAGATATGTTGGAGGCTGGGGTTGGGGAGGGTTTGGGGTGAGTGCGGTTGGGGGTGGGAGCTCGAGTAGTATGGTTACAGGAAGTGCTGGGGTGGGTGGGTATGGCAATGGGAACGGGAGCGGGTGGAGGATTCAGAAGATTATGGAGGTTAGGGTTGAGAGGGAGTGATATCTTTATCTCTCTTTCTCTAGGTGATAATGGAGTAATATAGGTATAACGAGATATGACTTCTAAATGATGCTTGCTTACTTCAGGCTAGATACAACAGTCAATATATCAACTCACTTGCCAACCAGTCCCTTCAGGTTGATACTCTTCGGTCGCTCGATCGGCAGTCCCAAGGCCCGGTCCCAGATCAACTGCACCAAGGGTCCCAGAGCCCGACTCACGCCGAAGGTTACCGTGTAGTACAGCGGCTGCTGGAAGCCATAGTGGTAGAACAGCACGCCAGAGGCGGCGTCCACGTTGGGGTGGGGGTTCTTCGTCTATGAAGTGTTAGTCTGATACAAAACAAGTGGTGGACAGGTACATACCTTTCCATGCTGCGTCAGCACCTCTGGCGCAATCTCCGAGTTCTTCTTCACCAGTTGGAACACCGGGTTCGCCTGCACGTCTGCCCGTGTCGCCGCAAAGTCCATCAATGCCTCGAATCGCGGGTCCGGCTTGCGCAGCACGCCGTGTCCGTAGCCCGGCACCACCCGTCCCGACTTCAACGTGTCCCAGAGGTACGTGCGCACCGACTCGTCTGTCACCTGAGTGCCAATCTTCTCCTGCATCGCCAGAATCCACCGCAGCACCTCCTGCGCCGCCAGTCCGTGCAGCGGGCCGGCCAGACCTAGCAGTCCTGCGCTGTAGCTGAGGAACGGGTCGCTGAGGGCACTGCCCACCAGATGCGTCGCGTGTGCCGAGACGTTGCCGCCCTCGTGGTCGCCGTGCAGCGCCAGGTACAATCGCAGCAGGTCGTGGAAGTCGCTATGCTCGGCTCCGCCCTTGCCCAGCAGTTCGGCAAAGTTGTGCGACCAGTCCTGTGTCGCGTCAAGAGCCTGTGTGCCGACCTGATCGATCTCGTTCGGCCTGAACACCAAAGCAGCCACACGTGGAATCTTAGCCAGCAGCGAAATGCTGTCGTCGAATGTGGGCTCCCAGTAGTCTGCCTTGTTCAGGCCGCGCTCGTACGCCTTGGCGAAGGTCGACTCCGTGTTCAGTGCTGCAACCGCCACCGACAGCTGCGTCATGGGGTGCATGTCCTTGGGAAATGACTTGATCAAGCCCAGGATGTGGTCGGGGAGGTGTGATTTCTCGGCAAGCTCGCGAGAGAATGCGCGCACCTGGCTGGTGGTGGGAACCTGGCCGGTCAGGAGCAGCCAGAACATGGCCTCCGGGAGCATTTCAGTTCCCGTGGTCCCCTTGGGCAGTTCACGTTGGCAATCCTTGATGGTCTTGCCGTGGAAACGGATACCCTCCTCGGGGTCGAGAACGGATCCCTCCCAGAGCATGGACTTTAGGCCGCGCATGCCGCCGATGATGTTGCCCACCTTGACTTCGCCGACCACATCGTCGCTGCGGGCCTTGACTTGCTTGAAGAGCTCGCGCTTCTCGGGAATGACGGATTTCAGGGCGGTTTTAAGGTCGGATTCGGTGCTGTAGAACCGACCGGAGCGGATCCTGGCCTGGGATTGTCAGCAATGATAGGCAAGCTATCAAGGGGGAGGGGCGTACCTGTGCCAGCCGGCTGGCATGGCGGGTTGTTGGACGTATCGGCAGGGAGAAAGACATGATAAGAGTTCTAGAAGGCTGAATGTGCAAGCAAAGACGAGAGAGAGAAGAGATTATATCCCCAGAGCAGAGTACAAAGCAGAGTCGGGAGAAATTTACCGGGGAGGAGGGCGAGTGGCCGTCGGTTGGCCGCGGTGTTGAGGAGCCGAGGCAAGGAACGGCTGCATGCGGACGGTCAACACAATCAGCAATAAGCAGTCAGCGTCTATCCACCCTCAATCGTTGCACATCCTCACCGCCGATGCGAGACCGAGCCGGCTGTCGGACTAAATCGGTAGTGTGCAGTAGAGCGCGCGCTGCCTCTTTAGTTATCATCATGGTGTAATTAGATCCATTTGGCTGCAGATCCCGTGTCGCCGTGCCTCGGGGTACCTCTGTGAGGGGTCGATCGTAGACTGCGGTGAGGCGACATCGGGGCAGAGGGAGATCCAACCGAGAGAGCAGGAAAGTGAGTTTGTCCCATGCATTCCCTTCACAAGGCCATGGGACGATGGATGTTCGGGACAAGCAAAGGGAAGAAGGGGAAGCTGATCCTCCCAATTGCAAGTTGCAACTCAGTGGATGCGAGACTCCATTTTTGGTCCGCCGAGTGGAGTCCCCGTGCGGGGTAAGCCCAATCGGGCAACGGCGGCGTTATTGCAGCCTCAGGCATTAAGAGCCGGAATTCAGGCAGAAACAAGCTAAAAATGACACCTATTATATCAGGCAAGAAAGGGATCAACACCGCCACAGCTCAGCCACGCGTGCCTGGATGATAGGCTGTCAGCCCCTCGCCTCAGGCAGAGATTTCATCGCCGCCCGATCCAATGGGCCGCCGCCTAAAAATCCTCAGGCTCGTTATCGGCCCCGCCTCCATCTTGTTTTTCCTCTTTGCGCTCGCCTTTCAATTTCCCTCGCCTCTCCTCTCCTCTCTCTCCAAATCTCCCCTCTTTGTTTCTTCTTCTCCTTGTTGTATACCCCGTTCTGTTTCTCTGTTTATACGCATCCTCGCCGAGGATTGCCCACTAAAAGTTTTGGTCTCTTTTCTTTTTCTTGTCCTTTTCTTTTCCGCTTTTTTTTTCTCAGCCTGCCCGCCGCCCCGGCCGGTGTGAGAGGCCCAGAACCCCAAACCCACAGATCCTACGATATCATGCCTCATCCTGAAGATCCCACTCCAGCCATGACTACCGTCGTTTCCAAGACCCCCTCCGGCGTCCCTCCCACTGCGGATGAGGTCAACTCCATCTTGAACACCATCTTCCAGGCTGAGACCTCTCAGCAGGCGCTCGATGCCTCCTACGCCCTCACCAACCTGTTGATCCAGAGTGTCGGCTGCTCCGGTTTCCGTACATACAACATCCTGCCCCCGATCAAGAAGGCTGCTACCGACAAGAAGAATGGCGCCCTCCGCGAAAGTTCCATGCTCATTTTGGGCGCCCTCTTCGAGCGATTCCCCCGCGAACACCCTCTGAGCGAAGTCGTCTTCCTTCTGCAGGACGGCGGTGTCCTGAACCTGGCCCTCGATCTACTGGCCGACAAGGGTGCTGTCGTGCGCGATGCTGCTCAGTACGCTATCGATGCGCTGTTTGCCTGCCTCAAGCCCGAGGCTTTGGTCAACGCCCTTCTTCCCGCCCTCTCCGCCTATCTCAACCAGAACACAGCCAAGTGGCAGGGTTTCGTTGGTGCCTACAGCCTCATCGAGAAGATGGCTACCAAGTCGCAAATGGGCACTGGATCCCTGGACGAGGAGCGCGAGAAGGACCTTTTGCGCGAGGCCATGGGCAAGACCCTGAAGGATCTGATCCCGTTGGTCGAGTCCGGCATGCACGACCTGAAGAACGAGGTCGCTAAGAAGGCCATCAAGGCTATGAATGCTCTCACTACTCTTCTGTCCAACGACGACGTGGCTCCCCGCATTCCCCTTTTGATCAAGACCATGGAGCAGCCATCCGAGCAGACCTTGCAGAAGGCCATCCACGCCCTGTCCCAGACTACCTTCGTCGCCATCGTCACCTCCCCCGTTCTCGCTCTGCTCACGCCTCTGCTCGAGCGTTCTCTTAACGCCCCCACGACTCCCCAGGAGACCCTGCGTCAGACTGTCGTCGTCGTGGAGAACCTCACCAAGCTTGTCCACGACCCCGCTGAGGCTCGTACTTTCCTGCCCAAGCTGAAGCCCGGTGTTCAGCGCGTCAAGGACCGTGCCTCCCTGCCCGAAGTTCGTGAGCTCGCCACCCGTGCTTTGGATGTCATCGAGAAGGCCATGGCCGATAAGGATGTGGCTGCTGGTGTGGTTGTGAAGATCACCCCAGAGGAAGTCCTGGCCGTGCTGGAGGCCAAGATCCAGGAGCACGGCGGCCTGGCCCGCCCAGAGGACGCCACCTTGTTTGCTCTGGGTAAGAACTATGTCGCCGAGATGGTTCGCGAGGATGTCAACTGCCGCATGCACGACCGTATTCCCGCCTGCATTGCCCCGTACCTGCGCGGTCTGCTGCACGAGGACAAGCACGACGCTGTCGCCGCCGCCGTCCAGGAACACTTCGTCGAGGAGGACCACCGCAAGTTCGGCAAGCCCATCCCCGACGACCCCAACGAGGTCGAGATCGTCAACGCCAACTTCTCTCTGGCCTATGGTGGTATGCTTCTGCTGTCCCACACCAATCTCCGTCTGCTGAAGGGCCACCGCTACGGTCTGTGCGGTCGCAATGGTGCTGGTAAATCGACGCTCATGCGCAGTATCGCCAACGAGAAGCTGGAGGGCTTCCCCCCGCAGAGCGAGGTTCGTACCTGCTTCGTCGAGCACAACCAGGGCGAGGATGCCGATCTCAGCATCTTCGAGTACGTCTCCAAGGATCCCATGATTGCTGCCGAAGGCGAGGAACACATCCGTAGCGTGTTGCTCGAGTTCGGCTTCACGGACGGTCCCGAGGGCCGTCAGAACCAGCGTGTGGGCTCCCTATCCGGAGGTTGGAAGATGAAGCTCGCTCTGGCGCGTGCCATGCTGCGCAAGGCGGACGTCCTCCTGCTGGACGAACCTACTAACCACTTGGACGTGGCCAACGTCAAGTGGCTTCAGGAGTACCTGAAGAAGCACACTGATATCACCAGTTTGATCGTCTCTCACGACTCCGGCTTCCTCGATGAAGTCTGCACGGATATCTACCACTACGAGCAGAAGAAGCTGGTCTGCTACAAGGGTAACTTGGCTGAGTAAGTACTCCGTGTCGTTGATGTATACATCACACTAACAGTAGACAGTTTCGTCAAGGTCAAGCCCGAGGCCAAGAGTTACTACACCCTCTCCGCGAGCATCGTTCAATTCAAGTTCCCTCCCCCCGGTATTCTGGCTGGTATCAAGTCCAATACTCGTGCCATCCTCCGCATGACCAACTGCACCTACACCTACCCCGGCGCGAGCAAGCCTTCTCTGAGTGATGCGTCCCTGTCTCTAACTCTGTCGTCCCGTGTTGCTATCATTGGTGGTAATGGTGCCGGTAAATCGACTTTTATCAAGATGCTTACGGGTGAAACCATCCCTCAGACCGGTAAGGTCGAGAAGCACCCCAACTTGCGTATCGGTTACATCAAGCAGCACGCCCTGGAGCACGTCGAGATGCACCTGGAAAAGACCCCCAGCCAGTACCTTCAGTGGCGTTACGCCAACGGTGACGATCGCGAGGTGTACCTCAAGCAGACCCGTATCCTCACCGAGGAAGACAAGGCTCAGCTGGCGAAGCCGGTCGACCTGGGCGATGGCCGTGGACCTCGCCGTATTGAGGCGCTCATGGGTCGCCAGAAGTGGAAGAAGTCCTTCCAGTATGAAGTGTAAGTATTCATTGGATCTTTTAACACTGTTCATCGCTAATGTATGTAGTAAATGGGTTGGCCTTCTTCCCAAGCACAACACCATGATCTCCCGTGAGACTCTGCTCAACCTCGGCTTCTTCAAGCTCGTCCAAGAGTTCGACGACCACGAGGCGTCGCGCGAGGGTCTTGGTTTCCGTGTGCTCGACCCCAAGGTCATCTCGAAGCACTTCGAGGACATTGGTCTGGATCCCGAGATTGCCAACCACAACGAAATCTCCGGTCTGTCCGGTGGTCAGAAGGTTAAGGTCGTGTTGGCGGGTGCTATGTGGAACAACCCTCACTTGCTCGTCCTGGACGAGCCGACTAACTTCTTGGACCGTGACTCCCTGGGTGGATTGGCTGTGGCCATCCGTGACTTCAAGGGTGGTGTCGTCATGATCTCTCACAACGAAGAGTTCGTGGGCGCTCTCTGCCCCGAGCAGCTGCACGTCGCCGACGGTCGCATCGTCTCTCGCACCAACACCGCCATCTCGCTCGACCGGTTCGAGGACAGCGCTGCCAGCTCTCCTCAGCCTGGCAGCACGGCCGTCAACTCTACCGCCACGAGTGCGGCTGCCTCGGCCGTCAACTCGGGAGCGGAGGAGCAGGGCGAGCTGAAGTTCAAGGCTAAGAAGAAGAAGAAGCTCACCCGTGCTCAGCTGAAGGAGCGTGAGGCCCGCCGCCGTCTCCGTCATCTTGAATGGTATGTCTCGCTCTCTTGTCTCAAAGTACATCTCCCTTACTGACTCTCGCAGGCTCCAATCTCCCAAGGGCACACCCAAGCCCCCGGATACTGATGACGAGGAGTAGATGCATTGTTAAGTTATGATTTTGTTTGCATCGGCAGCGGTGTGATTAGACATGTTCTGGCTTTGGTTCCTTATAGACGGCTGGTTTATTGCTTGATTAATGAGGCTTGACGAGTATATAGATGTAGACTTGCTCTGAATGAACTTTTTGCACATGACTTTCGTCTCAAATCGATAGTAAACAAATAGTTCGATGTTGTGTTACCCCGTGTGTCCACGTGCCTGTGCGTCACCGCTGCTACTTGCTGTTCCTGTGTGCAACTCTTTGTTTTTGCACCGGCTGGTGATCTCATCGTGAAGTCGGGGCACAACCTTGCCAATGAAAGCGGGGATGCTCAGTACGGCCTCGCTCACGTCCTTGGCGACCTTGGGGTCTCCGGAGCTGACCGACAGATTGTTATCCCCCTCATGCAACTGGCTGTGTTTCTCGATCATCCGACGAGATCGGCGGGTGGCCAATGCAGGTGCAACACCTGCATACTACGCTGCTATTGTTCCCCTCGCAGCCCACGCGACTATTTCCATCCCCTTCCCCGCACATGAAATGACTTTTTACCCTGGAACCAAAACACTCTCACGCAAATATGGAGCGACCCAAGACCAACGTGTCCGCAGTCAGTCCGGCCAGCGACAATTCTGCGCACGTCGACGATGACGCGAGAAGGCTGGCGGAGATGGGCTATACCCAGGACATGCAGCGGAACTTCTCCGTGCTGTCTCTCCTCGGGGTCGCCTTCTCCCTGGCAAACTCGTGGTTCGGTATCTCCGCGTCCTTGATCACAGGCATCAATTCTGGAGGCACCGTGTTGACTATCTATGGCATCCCGTGGATCGCTTTCGTTTCGACCTGCGTTGGAGTCAGCCTGTCCGAATTGGCATCAGCCATGCCCAACGCAGGTGGCCAATACTTCTGGGCCAGTGAACTGGCGCCGAGGAAGTATGCGTCTTTCGCATCCTATCTGACCGGCTGGTTGGCTTGGGCGGGAGCCATCTTTACCTGCGCCAGTGTTGCTTTAAGCTTGGCCTCTGCTGGTGTTGGCATGTGGCAGCTAACACATCCGGACTTGTATGTTTCTATTCAAGATTGGACCGCAACTTGCTGACGGTGTAGTACTCCTCAACCATGGCATTCCGTGGTAGCCTACCAGCTAGTCAACTTCTTCTCCTATCTGTTCAATTGCGTCGGCAAAGTGCTTCCCACCGTGGCCACCACAACCCTATACATCTCCCTCATCTCGTTCGTTGTCATCCTGATTACCGTTCCTGCGGCAGCTCCTACACACGGGTCGGCTGAATTCGTCTTCGCTCACTTTGTCAACTCGACGGGCTGGCCCTCTGACGGGATTGCGTTCCTTGTGGGTTTGATTAATCCCAACTGGATCTTCGCTTGTCTTGACTCGGCCACCCATTTGGCCGAGGAAGTCGGGCAACCTGAACGAAGCATTCCCATTGCGATCCTCTGTACCGTATTGATCGGCTTTCTCACTTCGTGGACCTACTGCATCTCCATGTTTTTCAGCCTGAACAATCTCGATGAGATTCTCAATACTCCGACCGGCGTGCCTATCCTCGCTCTGTATTACCAAGCCTTGCAGAACAAAGCCGGCGCTATTGTGCTCGAGACGTTGCTTTTTGTCACTGGTATCGGATGCCAGATTGCCTGTCATACCTGGCAATCCCGCCTATGCTGGTCCTTTGCACGAGACCGGGGCCTACCCATGTCATCGTTTCTCGCTCAGGTTCATCCCACGCTGGATGTGCCACTAAACGCGCACAGCGTGAGCTGCTTCATAGTGGGTCTTCTGGGGCTGCTGTACCTTGGATCGTCGACTGCTTTCAACAGCATGGTCACTGCGTGCATTGTGTTACTCTATACCTCGTACGTGGTGCCGATTGTCTGCTTGCTGTGGCGTGGTCGGAATAATCTCAAACACGGTCCCTTCTGGCTGGGGAGACTCGGCTTGGTGTGTAATATTGTGGTTCTAGCATGGACTTTGTTCTGCCTGGTTATATATTCCTTCCCCTCGGTATATCCGGTTACCACGGGCAGTAAGCCGCCCCCAAGCAACACTCCCTTATTTATTTGCCTTAAGAATAACTACTAACTCGGCGACTACTACTAGATATGAACTATGTCTCTGCAGTATATGGGGTGGTTGCAGTGCTGATTGCCCTGGATTGGGTGTTGCGGGGACGCCGGTCCTTCCGGGGACAGACGGCGCGACACATGGAGGCGGCGGAGGCGACTCTCACCTAATAAGCGAATGATAACCACTACTAGCTATATGTTCACTTCGATGTATCTATTGGCATCAACATTCTGCTCAGTATAGTTCCAAGTCAGGGTCCCAGCAAAAGTACGGTCCAGATCATGATCGGCCCGCAACGTCGTAAGCCATCAGATGGACGCCATCGTGATTGGCCAACCGCGGGACGGGTGCCTTGAAATGATGGCTCGTATCATTACTCTTTTGCGCCCAGCTTTCTCCACGTCTGGCCATCCCCATCCACTCTCTCGCCATCCTAATCTCCCCTTTCTCCCTCCTGCCCTGGTCCCTTCTTATTTTTTTGTTTTTTTCTCTCTCTTCCTCCCCTTGCTTCCTCTCGAATCTGGAATCTATTCCAATGCTCCTATCCCCGTAAGGCACCATGCCGCTCCCCTTTCGGGACAACTCTTCCTCCGGCAGGAAATCCTCCCAGCAACAACGCTACACCCCCCTACATGAATCTATCCCCGAAGAGGTCCAAGATGACCGCCGCTACTCCGAAACCTTTACCCTCTCCGACCTCTCCGATCCAGACCTCGATGAGGACTCCCGCATAAAGCTCCGCCGCGTTGACAACGCCAAGAGGTCCAATGAGGCCTCCGCCTACGCTAACCGCCGCTCCACTGATGTCGAAGCATACCTGGATAGCATTACCGAGGCGGAACAAGAATTATTGGCGGCAGCGAGACAGTACGAGCTCACCGATGACAGCGATGATGGTGACTACACCGTGAAGAAGAAGGGACATCACCGGAGAACCTCGTCGTTCCGGAGACATACTCCCCGCACCGGATGGCGGGCATACTATTATTCTCGATGGTTGTGGCGGACGCTGGTCGTTATTTTCGTCGCACTGGGTATGATGGTCTGGGCATTCTTGAATTTGGCTTGGTCGGAAGATGAGTTTGAACGGGTTCGTTTGGCATACCTGAGTTAGTGGGTGTGATGCTGATGTCTGTAGGATATAACGCCGGCGGAGTCTTGGTTTCCTACCCCCAAGGGAGGCGCGCTCGAAGAATGGGCGGAAGATTATAGGAAGGCGGAGGCACTAGTCAGCCAGATGACCCTCATCGAGAAGATCAACATCACTACTGGCATTGGATGGCAAATGGGGCTTTGTGTCGGCAATACAGGTATGTGTGGTTGAAGGCTATGGATGATGGTTACTAACTGCTCAGGCTCCGCCGATTTGGTCAAGTTCCCCTCGCTGTGTCTACAGGACGGTCCCCTCGGATTGCGTTACGCCGACCTCATTTCTGCCTTCCCCGCCGGTATTACAACAGGAGCGACCTGGAACCGAGATCTGATCCGACAGCGCGGTGCGGCTCTGGGAGAGGAGGCTCGGTTAAAGGGCGTCAACGTGTTGCTGGGCCCGTCAATGGGATCCCTCGGTATGATGCCAGCGGGCGGTCGCAATTGGGAGTCGTTTGGCTCAGACCCTGTGCTGCAGGGTGTCACCGCGGCGGAGACCATTCGCGGCATCCAGAGTAACGGCGTCATGGCCACGGCCAAGCATTACATTCTGAACGAGCAAGAACATTTCCGGCAGGCGAATGAGTGGGGAATACCCTCGGCCATGTCGTCCAACGTCGGCGACCGTGCTTTGCACGAGGTGTTTGCCTGGCCGTTTGCCGAGAGTATCCGTGCCGATGTAGCCAGCGTCATGTGTGCGTACCAGATGGTGAACAACAGCCATGCTTGTGAGAATAGCAAGCTGCTGAACGGTATTCTGAAGGACGAAATGGGCTTCCAGGGATTCGTGCAGTCGGACTGGTTGGCTCAACGGTCAGGTATCAACAGCGCCCTAGGGGGTCTGGACATGAGTATGCCGGGCGATGGACTCCACTGGGCGGACGGAAGGTCCTTGTGGGGACCAGAGTTGACTCGCGCAGTGTTGAACACCTCTGTCCCGATGGACCGGTTGAACGACATGGTGACCCGCATTGTAGCCTCCTGGTACCATCTTGGCCAGGACTTGTGGCCTCGGCCTGCTCCGGACGGTGATGGCGGGCCTACCTTTTCCTCGTGGACCAACGATGAAGTCGGATGGCTGCACCAAGGGTCTCCGGATGACGAGGCCTACGGTATCGTGAACCGGTTCATTAATGCTCAAGGCGAAGGCGAAAATGCACACTCCATTATTGCTCGCAAGGTGGCGGCCGAAGGCATCGTGATGGTGAAGAATAACCAGAACACACTGCCCTTGTCCCGCCGGCCAGTGAGCCCATCCGGCGGTCCCTATCGGGTGGGCGTGTATGGCGACGACGCCGGACCGGCTGGAGGACCCAACGCCTGCCCAGACCGGGGCTGCAACCAGGGAACTCTGGCCATGGGCTGGGGTAGTGGCACGGTTGAGTTTCCCTACCTGATCAGTCCGATTGACGCTCTGAATACCGCCTGGGCCACCGAGATCGACATGCACTCGTACATGCGGAATGCCGTGATGCCCGCCGATGCTGCCGATCGAGATCTATGTCTGGTGTTTGCGAACGCTGACTCCGGCGAGGGATACATCTCTTCGGGCGGCATTAACGGCGACCGCAGCAACCTCTTCCTGCAGAAGGGCGGTGATTCGCTGATCAAGACGGTAGCCAACAACTGTGGCGGGCCGACCGTGGTGGTGGTGCACGCCGTGGGCCCGGTAGTCGTCGAGTCGTGGATTGACCTTCCAGGGGTCGCCGCAGTTCTGTTCGCGCATCTGCCCGGGCAGGAGAGTGGCAACGCACTGGTGGACGTGCTTTTCGGGGAGGTCGATGCCAGCGGCCGGCTGCCGTACACAGTGGGTAAGAGGCTTGCCGACTACGGGCCGGGAGCGCAAGTGCTGTACGAGCCTAATGCACCGGTCCCCCAGGTGGACTTTACAGATGGGCTGTACATTGACCACCGTTATTTCGACCGCCACAATATCACTCCACGGTTTGAGTTTGGTTTTGGCCTGTCTTACGCTACGTTCGAGTTGGCCGAACTGCAGGTGAACGCCTTGCAGTCGAAGTCGCGGCTGCCTGCGTCGAGGCCTCCAGCCATGATTTCTCCCCCAGAGTACGATCCTGAGCCGCCGCGCAACGAATCATTCTTCTTCCCACCAGGATTCAACGTCGTTAGCAAATATATCTATCCCTACCTGCCATCTCTAGATGGTACTGCTCCCGCAAACTACACACACTACCCGATCGGCTACGACAAGCCGCAGACACCGTCACAAGCCGGCGGTGGCTTGGGCGGCAACCCGTCTCTGTTCGAGGAGATGGCGAACGTGGAAGTGCAGGTCCGGAATACGGGACCCCGGTCAGGTCAAACCGTAGTGCAGATGTATGTCTCCTTCCCAGAGGAGGTGACCGAGGAGGGCGACTGGGTGGAGGTGCACGATCGGAGCTCTAGCAAGACAAAGATCGAGCGGGTGCCGGAGAAGATCGACTTTCCGGTGCGTGTGCTGCGGAACTTTACCAAGGTGGCCCTGGAGCCAGGTGAAGCGCAGACAGTGTCGATGAGTCTCAGCCGGAAGGATCTGAGCTATTGGAGTGTGCGGCAGCAGAATTGGGTGATGCCGGACGGAGATTTTGAGATTTGGGTAGGGCAGAGTTCGAGAGATCTCCCGTTGCGAGGATACTATTAGATTTGGAGTATTATTAGACTTTCATGTACATATAGAATTGCTATCAATGATTTTGAAGGAACTTGCAGATCCCAGATGCGCTTATAGTTGTATTCCAAGGCTTTTGACCTATTGCTACCTCGTTTCTCTCCATGCTGAACCCATCGTCAGTAAGCGGGGCACTTGGAAAGAGAAAACTGAACCCACCTGAATGAGCAACGCATATTCGGCATTATTGCTACACCCTATCAATGAAGATACCACTTCCCTTATCACAACTAACATCTAACACTCCTAAAATCGATGCAATAAAAAGGCCCTCACACAAGGCCACCGACGGATATTCCACCGTCCTACTACGCAAACACAGCGAAACTGCCATGACAAGCGCGAGAAAGCACTACTTACTACCTACTCTACCCAAGCCTCACCATGGGCTGGGGGATGGGGCAGTGCAACGCGCAAGGCTATCATGTGAGAGCGCGCCAACTGCCCGCAACTTAGCAGCACTCTCACTTTTTATTTCCCTTTTCGGACTAGTAAGTACTGCACTGCATGAATCCAACGGTGTGTCCTGGTATGATTCGTTCATTTTCTTCCCTCTGTTGTAATTACATGGACTGATTGGTCCCTTCATCAGGTTTCCATCGCTTTCTCATGTGTGCCATGCGAGGCGAGGAGTGTGCAAGAAGACGCGTGCAAAGGACGCGTCGGGGGAGGGGAGTGCATTTCGTACAGAGTAAAGTAGGGCATAAATTGACACCCCGGGACTCTCTCATGGTTCTTTCCTTTTGACCATTTCATTCTGTCTTTCCCACTTCTATTGTTATTTCATTTACTTGGCTTAATTCTTCTCTCTTCTTTGCACACTTGTTACAGTATTCTTACCATCGATACTCATCACTTCTAACCATGGACCTCACTGTCTTAATCTGGGGCCTTGTACAGCCCGCCCTGGCCCATATTCTCCGGGAAGTAATGCGGAACCGAGAGTCGATCAAGATGCTCCTTCAGAAAGAGGACACGATGGAAAGTGTAATCCGTGGTCTGAATGAAATGCTGGATCAACTTGAAAGGAGAGTTAGCTCTCCCGGCATGGGAGATAGCACAGAGACAGAGCTGTTCAACAACTTGGCGAGGAGCGTTCGGAAGTTACATGGCAATATGCAAGAGATCAGGGAGGCCTATCGTGATAAACGGACTGGATGGCGGTTTTCTGTACAGTCAATGAAGGACTATCGCCGTAATCGGGTATACAGAAAGTTGCGGGATCAGTTTAAGGATGTTGTGAGAGACATCTATTATATGGAAACTTGTCAGAGGTTTATGTGGGTTGAAGGCTTTTTCTTTAGATACTTTCGTTTCTCATTTTCCCTTTTTACATCTGGTGTTTTGCTTTGTTACTTTAATATTGGAGAGAAGTATGTGCTGGGTTGAACTGATGGGGCTAAATGAATGTGTGGATGTCTAGAATACGTCAGGCCGGCGGCGGCGGCGGAAGCAGCAGCAGCGGCATACATGTGGATACTCCCATGATTGTGGACACCAACTCTACTACTGCTGATACCCCGACGGTGAGGGGTCACGGACGGCAGCTCCGATCTCTTTCTTCGTCCCAGATCAACAGACAAGGAGGAGGTCATAGATCTAGCAGGGCGTATGAGGCACAGAAGTCCAGGGTTATTACCCCCGTTCCTAGTTGGAGAGGCCTCTCTCAGACTCGCAGAGACATGAACAAGGCTATCTTTCGCCGGCAGAAGCAAGGCAAGTGTCGTAACTGTGGGTGGTATGGCCATCGGGAGTATAAATGTTTCAATCGCTGTGGTAAATGTTCGTATAACATGGAGTGACAGAGAATGAATGAGTGAGCTGACGCTGACTGACCTTCTTAGGCAATCGTACAGGACATAAAATCTCCGAATGTCCGGGAGACGTTGTCTGCTATTCTTGTGAGTTGACTGATGAGAGGAACTGTGAATGGGGCTAACTGGGATTTTCTTTTATAGGTGGAGAAGTGGGCCATATGCAAGGTGACTGTGATTGAACAAAGCGTTCTGGGAATATAACACCCGAAAGTATACAAGGTGAGTCCGGACTGTCTTGAGCGCAGGCTGTATTCCCTGTGTGGCTGACCTGAGAGAACTGGGATAAGATACGGAGTAATGGATGTTTAGACTGTGTCGTTTTGCTTGTTCTGCTTGTTGTGGCGTTCCGTTCAGACCAGACTGCCAGTAGAAAGAATTGATTTCAGTATGCTTTGGAAGTGGGTAGAGGATTGATAGATAAGGTAAAAGCCGGTTCACCCCCTTTGAATGAGGCAAATAGGTTTTTAAGCGCATTGGTTTCCGTAAGAACAAAAACATTCCACCATATCAACCAGTATCACATGGAAGATAAGCACCTATGCTAATTAGATTTTCTCCCACTGTCCCAACAACATGAGTCTCTCGTAACGCTCGACATAACCATGAGCTCATATCCATCTCTGCAGCACCAAGTATATCCCCGCTGCGGGAATACCGTCCGACCCAACCCTAGTACCCAGCACAACTGCAACACCAACCCAGTGGAATACTTCTCCGGATGACCTCAGAGAGATCAAATTATCACTACTACGTAGATATTCGTATAAGAAAGCCCTATCCCAGCCCATTCTCCAATGTCTAAAACTACATTCCATTTCATCCCCAAAGACACCGAAGAACCAAACAATGAACCTCCTAACCCTCCTCCTAACCACCCTCTCCCTCCTCCCCACACCCTCCTACACCCAGGAGTCCTCCTCCTCATCCTCCAATGAAGACACCTCATCCACCTCCTCCTTCACCGTAACCGCCTACCGCTCCAACTCCCCAATCAACAACCTCGCCCTAACCATCTTCTCGGGCCGCTTCTACCTCGGCGGCCGCACCTCCTCCTACTGTCCACCCGGCGTAGCCTCCGAAGGCGAATGTCCCCCAGGAAACGAGACGATAATCATCGGTGATAATGGCCTGGTACGTTCCTCCCCTCTTATCCCATTCATCCCCCAACCCTAAATCCAACCACCAACTAACACCCCCCCTCCGGGGTGCCTCACCTATAGTCCGTCTCCGTCCCCGGCGGCCAACAAATCTACATCCTCTCGACCGGCGCCCTCTCCTTCACAGCCCCACACTCCGCCTACATGCCCCCAGGTTCCTCAACCGGCCCATTCAGCTACACGCCCGGCACACCCTACGGCAGCTGGAACTATACGGGCTCTCCGGGTGGGTTCATTGCTTGTCCTGTGAAAGGCGGAGCTGGAGGAGGTAGCAGTAGTAGTAGTGTGCCTGGTGGGTCGTCAAGTACGCCGAAGCCGAGTTCAACGCCTACGCCTAGCAAGCATTCTGGGACACCTTCTTCGTCGTATGTGAGTCCGTCGGTGAGTCCGTCTGCGACTCCTGGGGCAGGAGGCGGTAGGTGGATTGTGTATGTCAATTGGAAGAATGCTACTGTGCCGGGGGGGAATGTTAATGAGTGTTTGGGGTTTGGGGCCAGGGCGTGGGGGAGGAATGCGAGTGTGGGGGCTTGGGAGTATATTTGATCTTTGTTTTTTATAAAGGGTTTGGGGGGTTTGGTTGGGGTTAGGGTTCGAAAAGGGGGTTAGTCAGTTTGTATAAGGGTTGAAATGGACGAGGACGGTCTGGTGGTGGTGGTAGTTACTGGTGGTTCATTGATTTGTTTGTTTGTTGGTATTGAAAATGCATGCATTATTTTGTTTATTCGGTTATATGGTGGTTCATGATAGGAATGATTTTGGTAGGGTGAAGTATGATAATGTATTATGCATTTAACATGGCAAGAGGATTCGTGTGAAACCGATTATTACTTATCCCGTATCCCTCTATCGTAATGCTCTCAACTGCTCTTGACAACCCATCCTGTCTAATCCGTACAGCTATCAGACCGTGCTGATCCGAATGTTAGACTCCTTCCCGAAAGTGATTGCAGTCTGGTTTGGAGAGCATATGTCAGTCGACGATAGGTGCTAATAGGATCACTTGGGTTGATTAGCCTAGTGTTTAGAATCCCCACCAGCTGGTGACATTGGTCGATCTGTTCCCGCAGATCGTCTGCCAGCTTGTTGGTTTCTTCTTGCAGCCTATACTTCAACGCTGGCATGCCACCGGTCGAGGCTGCTGTCGCTTCGAAAACTGGAAGAGGCATCTGGGCTACAACGCTCTCGAAAAGGGTCACAGTGTGGGCAAGGGTCGTATAAGTCAGCATCAAAACGGTTAGACTGCAATTTTCCCCATCCGCTTCCAGAAATCTACCTACTACGTTAAGAGAGTGTTCCGTCGTTCTCATTATTATGTCCACTTCAGGCTTGTTCTTGGTGTAATGCTCAAGCATGTAAACAAACCCTGCGCAGCCTAAGATGTCATTGGCTCCAGTAGGATCCGCCGCGTTTTGAGGGTCCGGATTTGTAGGCTCTACTGTTTTCTCGCGTGACTCATTGATGCATTCGGCATACCCTGGAAAGGGTCCACTATGATAGCCGTGCAGAAAATTGGAGTCTGGGCCGGCAGCTGGTCCGCTGGAATGGAGATACTCCGTTGGGTACTCGCTGTATGCATTTGACTGAAATGAAGTGCGAGCCTGGACTGGAGACTTCGTAGCACTTTCTGGATCCCACGGGGAATATAGTAGAGCTTCAGGCTGCTCTTCCGGCTCGTACCCGGAGGGTGTTTGGGCGAGTATTGATCTTTGGATAATTGGGGATGAGAGATAAGAAGCATGAGTGTGGTTTATGGAATTAGCTGGGGCTGGAGTCGATAAAATATTGCTGCTGCTCTGCTCAGCGCAATGCTTCTGTCGTCTGTCTGGTTTATATTCACCTGGAGGGTCCACGCAGTCGATGCCCTGCTTGATACAATGGGCGCAGTCACTATTTTTTAACTGTTATTGTGGTTAGTTCACGAATCGAACGAGAATACACAGGTGAAGTGATCTGACCATACCTTGAAACGACCGCAGTTGGTGCACTGAGTTGGTGTCATGTCTGTAGTACTGGGGTTTAGATTTTGTTGTGATCAATCAGGCAGGAGAATGTGATACTGATAACTGTAGCAAGAGTTCGTCTCGCGGTCTTCTGTAACTTGACCAGTATAAACGGTTGGTGTATAAGTGGAGAGAGAAGCATTTATACCACTTTTCAGCAGATGTCACAAGTGACTCTTCACGATCACTTACTTCTCGGTGTTTGCCGAGAAATCCAAGCTTCTGGTGAGCTTCTTGCATTCACCAACTCCAAGCTCCTGAGAGAAACATAGAATGTTCTGGATATCTGCATCTTGATCGTTGAATATGAGAATTGCGGAACTGTGAATCAGATAAGCTTGCAAACAATAGAATATCTCCGTAGCATCGATGAACGAGCATCTTGACTACGATTAGCATTCATACAGAAGATTATTCTGTGGTGAGAAGGTTGTGGGAATACAGGCAAGACAAAGCCATCTCCCTTCCTTGTCTAAGGTAGAGTGTGGTTAACTCCGCGGCTGCCTAATTGGGCTCGCATCATACTTACGTGTTACACAAAGTCTACTCGAACATCAACACAATCGACCACCATGGCAATTTCCAAGGAGATAATTGTCACCTTCTCCCATTCAAACGCCCCAAGCCCTTCCAACCTTTCAATCCACCGCTTGCATTTCCTCTGCGCAGCAGCAAGATCTCCGGAATGTCCCCAGACATCGAAAAAGCCAGAGAGCGCATCTCCCGCTACTCCAACCAGACCAAGCTGAAAGCAACACTAGAAGCATCTCTCCAATGGCTACCGGACGGCGGGAAAGAAGCCCTCGCTAGTGACATCTTAAATGCAACGACTGCTCATAAGCTTCATGAGATCTTCTTCAATATTCTCACCATCCTAGCCTGGCCGGGTAAGTGATCACTTGAGAGGATACCAGAACCAGGACCACTGACAGACAAGACAAGCCATACTCCAGTCAGAAGCAAGCGAAGTCAGAACACCCCAAGAGCAGCTTAGTCCCTTGGGAAATTACCAGCAAGGCACACAGGAAGATTGTCTGAAGCGTGATGGCTCCTGCTGCGTCGTTACAGGGGCTATGGATGTGGAAACGTATTCCGAGAAAGGCAGACCAGAGGGCTTTGAAAGTACCTATGTGCAGGTAGCGCACATCATGCCGTATTTTATTTCCTACTGGAATAAATCTGCAGTAAGTTCCCCTTATATCTATTGATTGTCTGCCAATAATACCAATAATAACATCACTGAAATACAGATGACCACCGTCTGGGAAACCCTATGCCGCTACTTCCCTGCCATTCACCAAGCCCGAATGGGGGCCGGTGGCATCAATGCCCTGGTAAACAGCCTATCAAACAGCTTCTTGATACATCTACCAACAAATCTAGTATTCAGTCGTTTCGCTCTCGCTTTCAAAGCAACAGTAAGTCTCAAATCTTACATCATCATTATTATTATTACTGCTACTTCATTATATTGATACCCCCGATCAAATAGGACCGCCCAAACGTCTACAAAACCGTACGATTCAGCGCGTGTCCAACTAGCCTACTGATACCCGATGAGATCGAGTTCAAGTCAGTAGCGGCGCCTGGTCCAGAACATCTGGAACTACCGAGCAAGAATCTCCTCGACTGCCACTACCGTCTAGCCCAGATCCTCAACGCCTGTGGTGATAAAATGGCTTTCTTACCTGGTAAATACCGGGATCATTGGGAGTACCACATCAGGTGGAATGTCGAGGCAATGCTCGATGGGGACGCTGATCTTAGCGGATATTTGGAGACAGCGCTGTGGTGGGCGTAGAGAGGTAGAGGGTGATACTATTTGATGCGATATGTAATTCTCAAGTTAATCTGTAGGAGTTCACCTATGTTTTGGTCATAAATTGCACTCAGTATTAGTCTCTTGCTCTCAGTTATTGTCACACGAATGGATCCAGCTAAACTCCATTTTCTCCTCCTCTCATTAGTATTGATCAGTTCTACATATCTCGCTGCATTCATGAATGCAATGACTCTGGCTTGATAACTGAGATATTAGAAAGACAGGACATGTAATATAACAATTATAAAGTAGCAGTAACTTATGTTAATCGACACCGATGAAGTCCGTATATATCCTCTCCAAGTAAGTTGGTCTATAGACCATACTAACATGTCAACAGTTGAACCGAACAGGGCTCGACGTTACACTATTGATATTTGTATCTCGGTCCCATGGTATGTGAAGCAATTCAATCTAAGCATTG